AAATTCTGCATCATGTAAGTTGCGCTGACAGGTAGACACACTGCTTCCCCGCAGCGAGGCTCCCCCGCCCTACAGTTGACAGTTCAGAACCGGTTCTTCGATTCAGCTCCCGCTCTTATCACTCCGCCCAGAGTCCGACTGGTGCTGCGTCATTGCGTCATCGTTTGCGTCATGACGTAACCGTTTGCGTGCCTGCTTCATAAAGCCAAAGCCCGCGGAAACCCCTCACAGCTGACACCGACAACAACAACAATGGCCGATTGTGCTCCAGCTTCCTCTGCACCTCTTCAGAAGACCAGATTCCCAGTAGGTAGCTGGTCTCTTCAGTGGACCACTGCTGCTTGTTAAGTTTCTCCATCGTTGTGTACAAACTGGATAAAACGCAGGCTTTTTGTTGTTGTTCAGGAGTTGATCCCGCCCCTGCCCCCGCCTCGACGTAAGCGTGATGTATGCGGTGCTTTTGCTGTAGCCGGACAATTTTTTGGTGCTTGAAACGAACCGGATTCCGGAGCTAAGAGGCTGCTCCGCTGCGGTGTGAACAGGAAAACCCGGTGCTTTTCAAGCTCCAGCTCCGAACCGGCCCTGAAACACCGTTGGTGTGAATGAGGTATAAGTGAGTTAGCAAAGGTTCAATATCTCCATCACTATTGTCAAATGCCTTGACAGCCGTTCAATCAGGATGAATGATTACAAACTACATATTTTCACTTTTTATTTCAAATCAATTGCAGGTTCCACTTGTGCAACAATTGGAAATAACTCAAAATATAAATCACTAAATCCCAGTCAGAGTAGCTGTTTATTGAGCTTAATGCTAATATAGTATACTAACAAGCTTTGATGACCAACATTGTGAAATGTTATCATGCTAAAGTCTATACAGATAGTCGTTTATGTATTTATGTAGCAGAATACATACAGTAAGTAGGTTTTGTTCGAAACATTTTAAATTATACGCAAAAAATGTTGGTTAGCATGATTAATTTAGTATTGAGATAAGATAAGAAAGATATTTTTTCATTTCGTTGCACAACCTTGTGTTGTATAATTACAATAAATGATCCTTGTATCTTTGTAACACAGCTGTGCCTATAGAAAATGCTAATGCTAAGGTTCATTTCCAAACATAGGACAGATCCTTTTGTTGCCTCTGGCGCCCCCCTGAGTCCAAAGCTCACACGTCAGAGACTTATATGCTGCATGTGAGTTTGAACCTTTGGGAAAAGCCTGAGTGCGTTTTGTGCGGTGACGATCTGAACAGTTTGTGTTGACAGACCTTTGACGTCAGCGATGTGTCGGCAGCACAGAGCGATGTTACAGGGCTCGTTCCTCTCCTGGGAGACAGGAAGAGACAGAAGGAGGTTTGGAAATAGAAACGTCTGCAGCTGAGAGACAGTCTGAGGAGATCTTCTGAAACTCACCAGCTTGTCGAGCCCGAGAGCGGGAGAGTCCGTTTCCAGACAGATGTGCTCCAGAGGGATCTGCTTGATCAGTTTGTCTCTCTGTGAGGGGAAAAGTTATTATACTTTTTATTATTATAACGGACTGATGTAACAGAAGTCAAGCAGATTCACTCTCATGTTGCTCGTCTTCAGAGGCAAGGCTATTAACACCTTTCAACACAAGGCAACTCAAAGTGCTTCACAGTGGAGACTTAAGTCTTATTGTTCTTAATTCATTAGATTACATTAGGTTTCATTACACAGAGTACAGGTACCAAGATGACTAAATGGAGATTATCATCTAATGAGAAGTGTGAAGATAATCAGTGATAATAAGGGAGGCGTGTGGCGCAGTGGATAGTGCGTAGGTGTTGGGATCAGGGGGTCACAGGTTCAAACCCCACTGCAGTCAGCATGTCGTTGTGTCCCTGAGACACTTCACCCCAAAGTGCTCCTGTGGGGATTGTCCACAGTATTGAGTATGTAACTAAAAACAATGAAATATAACATCCAGGAATAGGAACGCGGTGTCTCTTGTTTTGACCGTACTTTTTGTTTTAACGCGTCAAAGATTTTTCAAAAAATGCTTAAAAAAGGTATTTCTGTTGCACTTTTAATGGGATATAACAGTATTTACCTGTTAACGCTTTAACATAGAGTGTAATCTCTAAATAATCATAAATGTTATATAATGTTATAATGTATATAAGTAATCATCAGAGTATCTAAATCCGAATCAAAATAGTGTTTTTACCCTGGGGAAAGCTGCTCTAATTTACAACTAATGAAAATAAAAGATAAAAAAAGGAAAGCAATGTTAGAAATATAAAAAGAATAGATTAGAATGGGAGATGAACCCCTCTGTAATGGTCTCACATGCAAAGCAAACAGTGACATGTGTTCTCTGCTTTAACCCATCCTAGTACCAGGAGTCTAGTGCTAGGGGCTAGTGTACAGCGCCCGGGGAGCAATGGGAGTGAGAGGGGAAGGGGGGTGTCCGGTGCCTTGCTCAAGGGCACCACGGCAGGGCAGGAGGTGAACTGGGACCTCTCCAAGTAGCAGTCCACACTCCATATTTAGGTCTGGTCGGGGACTTGAACCAGCGACCCTACAGCTCACAGTCCAAGCCCCTACTGACTGAGCCACTGCCGGACAGGTAAAGAAACACAAAAAAAAAAATACAAAAAGAATACAAAAATGTATATAAATATAATAAGTGAAATGTCCGATAAAAGATAGTTAGAATTAAAAATAGAAGAAAAATATTTATATCAAAGATACATATTTTCAGTTGTTTTTATTTGACTAATGTACCGGTGCTGATGACACAAGATATCAATTTAAATTCCTATATGTTTCTGTTTCTCTCCTCGTGATTCCTTAAATACAAAATCTATACGTAGCAAGTTGTTGTTTCTTTTTTAAATCTTCCTACAAATACAAAGTGTGGATCCCCCTACCTGGTGGTTCCTGCAGACCGCGGGGGGGAAGGAGAAGAAGAAACCAGCCTTCACTCCCTCCAGAGCCACGGAGGGCTTCCCTGCAAAGTTATGAAGCAGCGCTCGACTGATACCTGACGGGAAATCAGAAAGTAGTGTCATTAAATGTTAACTTTAATTATTAGAAACAAAGCAAACACTCACCTTGTTCTCTCATCGTCTCTATGGTGACTTTAGCAGCAGATCGTGAGTGGACGTTCCTGTGAAGGAAACAGGAAACAAGCAGACTGATTTGACCATCACTTTAATGCTGTCTCTCACCCTTACAGTTATTGATCACATTTGTGTTCTATGTTCATGTATTTGTATGATGGTGGTTTCATCCGGCTCACACAGGCAGCTGCAGCTCCTTGGCGACGCTCAGCTGTTTGATGAAGACGCTCATCTGATCCTCTCTGTCCTGATGAGAGGGAGCACACCACGGAGTGAAGTCTAAGCCAATCTGGAAACAAACAAATAAAACACAATGACTGATAATGTTCCAGCAGACATCATGAAACCACCAGAGACCCTGCAGGGACAATTGTTTGTTTTAAAGCGATGTGATTGCTGTCAGGCGCAGAAGAGTAACTTCATTATCCTGAAATGTGGATGAAAAAAGTTCAAGAGCATGTTTGGTCTTTTTAAACTGCTTAAACAAAATTTGACAAACTTTACACAAAGACTTTTCAATGCATAGACATGGTAAAGATGTAACACACATTGATGTAGAAGTCAGATCAGATTAGTCTCGCTGATGAGAACAACCAAGTCAATTCATTTTTTTTAGGCAGCCAGAAATCAAGAATTCTCCTCTGAGGACCATCAAATCTGTCAAGTCTCAAACACTTAATGTTGTGACGGATGCCATTATCATCAAATGATCATTCCCTGAACACGTGCAGGTGAGAGCGACGGAGGTAAAGAGTGATTACAGACTCTCAGATCAAATCACGTGTTGAGTGCAGCGACCCATGAGAGAGTTGTGGAAACAGCAGTCAGACTGTTGATTCAGCCGTGTGGAGCCGGAGGTCGGCTCTGAACAACACACACATTCCTCAAGACCGCAAAGTGAAGGGTGTGTGGGTGTGTGTGAAATTACTATCCTTGTGGGGACCTAAATCTGTTTACACAGTCACGTGTGGGACTGGCTTCCCTTTAGGGTTAGGGCTAGGCATGTGTTGGTTAGGGTTAAGGTTAAGGTAAGTCTCCAGGAAATGCATGCAAGTCAATGTAATGTCCCCTGAAGTGATGTATACTTGGTGATGTGTGTGTGTGTGTGTGTGTGTGTGTGTGTGTGTGTGTGTGTGTGTGTGTGTGTGTGTGTGTGTGTGTGTGTGTGTGATGACTAATAGGCTTAGCTCTCCTGGGATTGCTCTGGGAGATTGTGTACTGTATGTCAGGATTTCAATCTGCTTGAGAACAATACAGAGAACCCTTTATTGGCCTGGGAGATAAATTCCAGTCTCTTCAATATACCTTTCTTCAAGAGGAGGATATTTGATTCATATGTTTGATTGGCACCTTTTGTCATTTGTTTCAGGTTAGGGAGGGGGACAAAGTGATTTGATATGACTCTTTTATCTATTCTTATTGCTTTTAATATTGTATTTATTTCAATTGAAGTGAAAATAGGCACATTTTTGGCTTTACCTTCTCATTACAGTATGAAGTACATCTGGCAGGCACATTGCTTTATAATGATGAAACAGCAGAGATTAGAAGGAGGAACTCACTGTGCATAGCCAAAGAGAGAAAGAGACCCCATGTTGTTCACAGAAGGGCTTTTTGCAAGAGTAGTTTGCAATTACTCAAGCAGCATGCATGGGAATTATTTATAATATGATATGTGTTAATGTATTCAATTGTCTTGATAGTCTGAAAATGCCCCAAAGTTGTTTCAAAGTATGATCTGAATGTCTTTGCAACACCTGCGCTAACAATTATATTACTTGGAAAATGTACGTTTGAAGTTGGACAGTTTTCTATTTGCCACTTTAATATAGCTTTTTAGGTATATTGTATTTCAGCGAACACATTTTTTACACAAAATATAATTATCTTATTTTAAAATAAATCAAGCAGGTACAGTTTGTCTTCCACGGAACCAACAACAACAAAAAATGGCAGAGTTCGTAGACACAGACACCATGTAGCCTGCTGATGCTTCAAATGTATCGATATGATTTCTGCATATCATGTATTTCTGCCTGCCATGTATATAAATGTTATGTTCATAAATGTTGTATGTGACGGGACTACGGATGGAAATTAGCTCAAAGCTAACATCCGGCTCATTTACATTTGAAAGCATTATTTTGTTTGAAATGTTCATTAATGTGCATTGTCCCGGTTCAAATAAACGAATAACGAAAAAAAAATTGTGACAGTCACCCGTTTACATCAAAGGCGGCTTTACCAGGTCAACCAGAAGATTCTCCATACACAGCAGCGCAGTGGAGCTTGCTAACAGACCTCGCCTGCTGCTCATCATTCAGTGACAATCCCCCAACTCAGCGGGGGATAAAACGCCACCACTAAAGTTTATATAGAAGAAGTATTTACCCAGCATGGTTGACAAAATACAAAAACTTAAAACAAATTACTGTACCAAAGATATAACAAACTGTTATATATGCGAACTGCTTGATAGAGACTTTCACAAACGTTTGTTGCAGAGCTATTTTATAGAACCGCATTCACTTGTTTATATAACTTTATTATGCAATTTGCCTTTTTTTATGTGGATAAATGACCCTAATAATTATGTCTAAAAATGATAAACAGCTTCTGGCTATTCTTTGCTTCATTGCAGCAGAAGCTTATAGAGTTTAGCTGTTCCTCCCTCTCTCCACTCCCTCGGTGCACCACCTTCCTTTTGCTGCAGTATGTATGGTCTTGTAGCTAGCAGTTAATGATGGAGCCTATGACTGCAGCATAGCCATCACACTATATAGTATGTCTCTATAAAACAAAGCAGAAGAAAGACACAATAGTCTTTTAATTAATGTAGAACAGGAACAGGATTTCTGTTTTTCATATTGGTTATAGCCAAAAACATATCAATGTGTGTAGGTGCTGTTGGCTACAAATACAAATGTGGAGTACATATCCTAGTTTACAGATGTTTACAAGGTGGCCAATGCTCCCAATCCATAAACCAACATAGCATAAAGAGTGCTGGACACTAACAACAGGGGCTATTTATTAGACCTTGAGGATCAGCATTCCCTGAGCTGCTGATGGATCCCTTGACACTGTAGGCTGATCATCGATATGTATGTGCCTTGCAAAATCAGTTTATAGTCATAGATCAATCCATTAGTAATTAATTAATTAATTAAAAACTATAAACAATGGTTTCAGTAATTGTTTGGTTATTCTTGAATAAGAATGTGTAACACAAGGTATGTCTGGGTATTTTTCTGTAATTACTGTTTTTTCAAATCACCCAATTCGCTAATCTTCCTTCATCATCGCAGCTTAAAACCACAAAGTATTCCAAGCCATATACTAAGCCTATGGTGATAATATTATGAACCCATATGTGAGTCATGTGACATTATCAAATGTCATTCTTTGTATAAGACCATCACATCTCTTATGACATTTACCTCTTCTTAAACCGGATATTTAGTACTAAAGGCATTTACATGCGTCATGTGTGACTAAATTGTAGAATTTATATAAGGCAAGCATGCATTAAAATGCTCACTGAACTGAGCACAAGAAAGAAAAGGAGATCCAGTCAATAATCACGTTTGGAGGGGAACGGGCACACATTTGGCTTTTAGAACAAATGGTAAATGGATTGCTGCTCCAAGCCAGATATAGTAAGCACACAGTGTGCTGTAAACAGAGTTGAATTAACCTTGAAGCCTATCAAATCAATCAGGTAGCAGACACTTCAGCACTTCTGTCAGAAGTCCAGTCACTTTTAAAGGATGTTAATTATAAACACCCATGCTAAATGGCTGCCTGGATTTTTACAGCTAAGGTGAATTGCATCTCTGTGTGAAAGATAGGGAAGAAATGGTCATGTATTTTAAATACTGTCAGTGTAGTCTCTAAGTTAATTTAAAACATCAAACTTAAAAAAGTATGATTATTTTGAATTGACAAAATTCACAGAAACAAACGCCATTCCCAACAAACAAGGAGTCCTTACGTACCCGATATTTGGAGAGGTCGATCCTCAGTGAGTTATGCAGCTGGTCCAATAATTTGACAAATTTCTCCCTCTGTCAGGATGAAAAATATCATAATTCAGTCACCACATCTAAAGCACTCTACAGTCTACAATTTGACAACACTGCGTGGTCGGTAGCTTTGCTGTGCTTGCAGTGATTCATTTTTACGTCCTGGAACAAAATGTAGGGGTTTAGCTATATATATTGCCTGACTCGGCTTCCTGCCTGGAAATATTATTTAATGCCTAACAACATTAGCTTATTAAAATTCCAATCTGAAGCACTGGCAAATCTCTGCACAACTTGCTGTAGACAAATAACTCTAAATGAGAAGCATGATAACAAGTATTGACGGCAAGAGTTCAATATGAGGCTATAACACAGCAGTAGAGGTTACTTAAGTCCAACTGGAGACCACAGAGCTCATATTTTCATTTAGCACTTTTTTACTATACATCACTGCAGGCATGTCAGTGGATGTCAGACTAAAAGACAATAATAGGTGCACTTACCCCAAAGTTAGAGGCAGCAAATCGGTCCGATGCGGAGGCAGTGGTTGTGGTGGTGGTGGTGGTGTGGGCGAAGTAAGCGTTGATATTAGCGAGCAGGTTGCTCATCACTGCTGGCACACCGGGACACATGTACTTGGCGGACAGACAGGAGAAGTGCCTGGAGAGGAAAAGAAACAGCTATTATTTTTGCATAGTATAAGAGGCATTGAAATAGCCATGTTTGAACCAAATAGGATGGAGGAGTTTGAGACCCAACATTGACACGCTTCCAGAGAGAGAAACATTTAAAGACATGCTCTTCAGTAATCCGGTGCAGGGGTAAAGTGCTATTTTTTTTACGAGTGGGGGGTGGACCAAACATCCTTTAGGGGGGTTGTTGCCTCCTCTAGGGGGGTCCGGGGGCATGCTCCCCCGGGAAGATTTTTTTTAAATATTGAAGTTAAAAGCATCAATCTGGTGCACTTTGAGAGCAACATTAACCCTACCTTAATAATACCTTAAAGGAGACATATCATGCTATATTTGAACAATATATTGTAGGGCCATACTTATATAAATATAGTTTTTTTTTCCAAATACCAAACAGATCCTGCATTTTAGCCATGCCTCATTTAGCTCTATTTTCTCTTTCCAGCCCTGTTTTTGCAGGGGGCTGATTCTGTGAGCTGCAGAGTCATTATTCATTTGTTTTAAAGCTCAATAAATAACAAAGAAGACCTTTGACCGTCACTTTTCTAATTTTGTCCGGAAGATTTAAACTTTAACGGACATGTTAATGTTAATCTAACTGAAACTCTGCCGGACGGTCCCCTCGTTCCTTGCAAGAGGCGGAGAGGTGGGTGTTTGTCATCTGCTGGTGGATTACCGGAGAGAATTTACAGTGCTTGCCTCGACGGGGAGGGATTGCATTGAATTACAGCAGCAGGAGCACACGCTTGCCTCGGGGAGGGAGAAAAAGAGCCACAGCGGAGAATAAACAGAAGGGCAACCATGGCAACCATGGCAACCATGCGCGGGAAGTCTTCTTCGCTGCTTTTGTGGGAGACTACAGCGCCACTTACAGGCCTGGCATATGTACTACGTCTCCAGCTCTTTCGAGCGGCAATGGCCGGCTGTGGCCCAACCCCACATTCCCCTGATAGGTGGACAGTTGGCCCAATAGCCGTAGCGCCACTTTACTGACGTCAGGACAGTGTTCCAATCTGGATCAGTTTTTATCAGATCCGTTGCAGCCCCTTTTTAAGAGATTTGGGTATGGAGGAAAAGAGAGAGGGTTTTGTTTTCTGACACTTGGTGAGTTCCCTGGAACAACGGGGACACATATTCATGTATAAAAGACGTACAAAAGTGCATTTTGCATGATAGGTCCCCTTTAAGTATGGAAGTATCATGACAAATGCATCCACTTCACACACGCCATGAACAGCAGTCTCCTTGGTGAAAGTTCAGTCCTCCCTACAGTATGTTGATTTGTTGTCTCTATGCTTCACCATAAAGTGCATTACAAACAAATTGACTTTGTGGGATATATAATAACTACAGTGCATAACTTTTTGGGTATTGCTCTTAACAGCTTTTGAGAACAGCCAGCTTTATTCACTGTTCTTCTGACGATGTGAGGCGAAACATTTTGCTTGTACATTATACATAAAAAACATCAAAACCTTGATCCAGAAACATTGCAGCATTTTACTCGTTAGAGAAGAAGAAGGTCTTACTTCCATCTGTGTCCTCTGTGTCATCTGGTGGAAGGTCCACTTCCTCACTCTTGGCATCTGAAGGGGGCTCCTGTGATGGCATGACTGGATCCTGAATAAAGAAAACTAAATAAATATCCAGACACATCCCCAAATATCCACTGAATATCCACACATGGTTGAACCGCCTGGAAGAGTGTAAGATACACCATGTTTGAAAGGAAAAGTCTATTTGCAGAAAGATTGTGTTTTTGAGGTCAAATTGATTTATTACAGGAAGCCTATGATGATATGTTTGCTATCACCCAGTGGCGAACCGTGTCTATCACAACTGGACCTTCTGTAGACAACCCTCAGGATTCAAAAATGTGGGAGTTCTAGTCAGACGGACGTCACGGAGGCAGTCACTCTGTGTTGGACGGCCTTTTTTTATAATGTCCATCTTTTCACTGAATGATCGTCTTGAAAAGGATACAAACAACAATTCTGCAACAACATCATCTTCACCTGTTGCCATTTCAACGTTAAAAACAATAAAACGGCAAATGAATTGCTACGTAGCATTTAGATCCTCTGTCTCGAGCCAGTGAACTACCGGGCCTTCTAGAGCAGGGGTTCCCAAAGTGGGGGTTTAGATTATTACAAAATTAAAATTGAAAATAAAAAAAATGATAAAACTTTTTTATCATTTTTTTTAAATGATTAATAATAACGTGTGCATAGAAATTTTTCAGGGGCGGACTAGCCATCTGTATAATTTCCCCGCAACAAGGCTCCCCCTTTGACAATCCACTAGCGCAGTGTTTCTCAAACTTTTTCATACCAAGGACACTTAACCAATACAAAAACACTCACGGACCACCTGACTCCACAAATATCCAAAAACAATAGGCCTGCTTCATTTCATTTCAAACCTTTATTTATCCAGATTGTCCCTTGAGATCATAGATCTCTTTTTTAAGGGAGACCTGCTTACCCATTCCAACAGTATATAACAAATTACAGCCTAATAATGACAGCTTCACCTTCTCTATATCGCCTCGTTCACACATTAAATCAATAATACAAATGCAACAACAGATTATAAGCATTTCGTTCAAATGCGATTTAAAATGCTCAGGTGTTACACCTCTTATGAAATATAGAATACATTTATTGCTGAGTTTATGTCCGAGCCAACAGACTCACAGATCGTGGGCTACTGAGAGATATGCAAAATACACCGCATGTCGTACGACACAAACCCCCGCTGTGGATTTTCAAAATACAGTAAAACTATGGTCACAGGCCCAAGTTTAACTCTCTGAGGCCTGCAAGGTCTGCCTACAAAACACAAATAAAAAACGTTTATGCAGCCCCAACAACAGCCTCTGATCATCAAGAGACTTCATGCAATGCTTCATTGGATGCATATATTAGATAATAATCTCTATCTCACTCCTAAAACATCTAAATCTACTTCCAGCATGGATAAATGTTCATAAAATACATCCATTGTTTGTTCTATATGCTTCTTGAAATCCAAAAAAACACACAGTTTTTCTAGAACAGATTACAAATCGCCTGAAAATGGTACAAACAAGTGGCAACATGTTTGACGAAGGTGCTGGGCTATATCATGCAATCGAAAGTGAAACGTAAACTCGCTCCATTGCGGAGATATTCCCACGAGAGTGCGGAAAACTTAAATTAATTCACTATCAATCAATCAAAAACTTTATTACCGTAATTTTCGGACTATAAGCCGCGCCTTTTTCCCCATTTTTCGACCCTGCGGTTTATATAACGGTGCGGCTAATCTATGGATGTTTACAGCTAACGGCCACTAGGGGACCTCCTAAATCTATGGATTTTACAGGTTACAGTCCACTACCTTTAACTCTATGGGCTCTATGGCCGGTCCGCGCCCCCCACCTTTAAGCGGCAGGCTCCAGCAGGAAAAGCTGGAGGCCGGAAAAGAGTGAGACAGGTAGCGCGCAAAAGTAAAAGCGGAACCGAGAGTGGTACGAGAGACAGAGCGAGAGCAAGACAGACAGACATTACGAGAGCGAGACAGTTTGTGCAAAGGTGTTAAACGTGCGCTGGGAGCGCACCGTTTAAGTTTGAAAGTTGACAAGTTTGTGTGTCTGAAACGCTATGTGATACAGTACAGTTTACACAGCACAGTACATGTTCTGTAGCTACTATTGCACTAAATGGTAACACTTGAATACATTATGCAACTTGTTTGTTGAAATGTTAATAAATGGGAGCTTCCTCAAACAGCCATCTCTTTCCCGTCAATCCCCTCTGTGCACGAACCCTTACATATGGTAATTAAACATTAAAACACCTGCGGCTTATAGTCCAGTGCGGCTTATNTCCACAGATGACATTTTTTTATGGATTTTTTGTCAAAGCACTTAAGATATTCATTGCTATCGGGATGTTAAGAGCATTCCATGGAATATAACAAAAAGTGTATCTCGAGCCGGTTTCTGAAACTTACCTACCCCACCTTTAATGTGTGCTTGATTCTTTATCAAATATGTTAGTCTACTCTTCACATGTTTGCCTTTTATCTGCACTGTCCCCTTTGCGTTAACATATTTAAATACCCCGCTGTTGGACAAATACAATATTTCTGATCAATCAAGCAGTTTCAGTTCAAATGTGTGCACAACATATTTATATTTAGTTTACTCAGTATTCTACTGTCACTATTTGTATTCATATTTATATTTGTTGTGCCTTTGCTTGGTCTTGAAATCGGCCTGGTACCTCTCTTTTGTTTTTTTCACATTGTAGGCATTGCTATTACACTTAAATTCCCCTCTCGGGATTAATAAAGGTGAATCTTATCTTATCTTTCCCTAAATATCTATTTATATATCAAGTTAGAAGTGACCATAAGTATTGTAAAGCTGGATGTTGAGCCTGGAGCACAGATATTTGAAACTAGAAACATCCTGCAAAGTGTGCTATTGCTTCATAAAGCCAAAGTGTTAGAGAAGGGCCAGGCAGAGAGTTATGTGGAGTAATGATTACAGATTTACCACCCTCCAAAAGTGCAGCCCCACACACACACACACACACACACACACACACACACACACACACACACACACACACACACACACACACACACACACACACACACACACACACACACACACACACACACACACACACACACAAATAAACACAAACATGTTCTCATAGGGAGGCCTATTTAATGACTTTGCTTTCAGCCTCCAAATTACCCAGGAGCACTTGGGGTTAGGGGAGCTAAGAGAGTGATGCATGGAGAGTGATGATGGCATCCGCTGAATTCCCATGGTGCTTTTAGAGGTGGATCTCCTGAGCTCAAGAGGAAGGCGTTCCTTCTCCTCGTGTTACCTTTCCTGGGTTTTCACCAGCGGCTGAGACACACTGCGCACACACTCACATATCATTTTACTCTCTCGGATGGTTGGGGGGAGAAATGAGAAAAAGATGATGAGAAACAGGAGGGTTAGTGGTAGGGAGTGGTGATAGAGTGCGATGAAGAATAACGAAAGTGAGGGAGGGTGTGTGTTGGGGGCGCCGTGTGGGGCACAGGAGGGACAGTGGAGTTTTCATAGCCGCTGTGATTTATGCAGCCATCAAGACAAGAGTGACTGGGAGTCAAGGCTCTGTGATGAAGAAAAAGGAAAGGTAGAGCCGTTCATAAATTCCTGATGAAGCATAATAAGCGCTGATATGAGAAACGCGGAGCTTTAACAAGAATCAAGCCTGCAGCATCACCTGGAGCTGAGAAACTGCTCATAAAGCCTCTGACTGCTTCACTTGTCTGCACTTAAAGAAGCCTGCAATCACTCATACAGTATGCTGCAATACCATGACACACTGACACAACTGTCTGTCACCTAGCAACCGTTAGCAGCACCAAAGTAATCCAACACTTATATATAAAACCGTATGTGTTGTTATAGCAGCAGTTCCACTCCTTACTTATATGGACATAATGGATAATAATAGGGGGGGTTTGAAAGATCTAAATCTAGCTTCACATGGCGCAACAAAAACACATGTTGGCCCTTCAGAGCCGGTAGGAAGATAAAGCAGGGAGCTACTGTGGGATGTATGAGGTTGAGTCATGTTCACTGTGATCAGAAAAGTGGGAGAGAAGAGGGGATCAAACATGCCTCCGGTCGAGTGGAAAGAATCAGAAACGGTATTTCACTAGTAATCCAACAACCTGTTGAACAACGGTTGACCCCATTGTTCTTACTTTGCGACAAAACATCAAAAGGCATATTCCAGGAGTATTTTATGTTGCTAAATTTGCAGGGTATTTTGAGGAAATTATATAAAGACCGTACAAAAATACCCTTTCTCAGTGTTGCTTCACCTGAGGAATGCATGAGGATAGCTTTCTGGACATGAAAGCCAAATGTGAGCTGTGCCTTTCATTCAATTTGCCAACACAATCTGTGTGTAATTAGAGTCTGATTGATGGAGGCAGCAGCTACAGTAATTACACATCCAGCAACTGGGACTGTCCAACAAGTGTATTCGGAAAGAAAAGGGGATTCTAATAGGTACGGATTGGTGGTGAAATTAGCACTTTTTTTTATCAGCAGATCTGCATGAGATCACAATTTGGGGTAATGCAAATAGTCATTGACTGTTAACTACTAACTGAATTGGGTTAATGGAAGATAAGTCATAAGCAAACGAGGAACAAAAGATAAGGGGGTTTAACCCAGAGCTCCTGTTTCTGCTATTTTCACAAAATGTTTGTAATTGGATTATCAATGGGCTGGGCTTTTACCAAAATGACTTAATGCTCTAGCAAATATGCAAAATAACATTCGTTTGGTGGAATCCAGCATATTGCTCCAAGGCTGTTAGATAGTATATATGCTTTTTTTATATCGAGGAGTGTAGATTCTCGGTAGGAGTCTTGAGGTGAAACGTATTTCTTTGAAGCAAGTGGAAGTAGAAGTTCATTGCAGAAGTGTGAATCAGTAAAAGTTCGGAAAAGAAACTACTAAAAATAATTGCACACTCCTTTCGGATGGAGAGTACATAAACAGATTAGACACTGAATACAAAGTGGGTGCACGGTACTTATGTATAAATAAAAACTGCAGTAGCCCCTAGTCTACTGGAAGTCATGTAAAATTAGATGCATTATGCAGACTTCTGCACTGGTAACCATTATATCAAAACTGCACACTTCACATTGCATTGCATGACCTTGATCAATATTCAATGATTGTAATGTTCCAGGTGGTGTGTGTGTGTGTGTGTGTGTGTGTGTGTGTGTGTGTGTGTGTGTGTGTGTGTGTGTGTGTGTGTGTGTGTGTGTGTGTGTGTGTGTGTGTGTGTGGAGGAGTGTGTGTGGAGGTGTATGTGTGAAGAAATGAAGAGAGACATTGAAACATTTATGGACGGACAGGGTCACTGAGGATCAGAGAGACGGAGAGATAGAGGGAAACAAGACTCTTTATGTGAGTCCATGATCAATGTGACCAAGGCAGGTTTGGAGTTTTTCCATGAGACCAGCAATTAATCAATCAAACTCAGGAGCTCGATAGTCCTCCAAAGCTCTGATTCTGCTGAGGAGACATTTTACTACTGCTCTTCTCCTTCTTTTCTCCTTCTCTCATTCCTTCTCCCCTCCACTTTGCCCAATGAGACAATGAAATATTTGTGAGGTAAAAGGCCATAGATCAGGGTGGTACTCACGTCATAGCCTGATAGATGGACTCCACTCCGTATCTCATGGCGAACTCATCCACTATCTCCTGGGACACGTCGTCAAAGTAGACCTTCCACGCCTCGTCCCCTTTCACCTGCGGTATCTTCACCACGCCGCCACTCTTCACCTCCGTCAGGTAGTGGAACAGGTTCTGAGAGATAACACAGGGCATGTTACGGTGATGGAGCACAGCACTGAATGACCCTTATCACAGCTTTGAAATTGTCTTTTACAAAGCTGAAACTATTGATTAGTTTGCTTTATGATGTAATCACAACAATTTTATTTTTTACATGTGTTTGCAAATGTTATACCTAGCTCCCAAAGATAATGATTGGAGATGAGAGAAAGTATAGAATCATATAGTGAGGGGTTACCTCATGTAAACAGGTGTACTGGCCGTGAGGAGGAACCACGTTCTCCTCTCCTTTCATCTCCACGCTGATCTTGAGTCTGATGGCACCAGATACCGCAGACTTGTCAGTCCTTTTATCTGTAACACACAACCAAACTGGGTTAGCCATGGCTGCAAATGAACTGATAAGAAACTGCCAATTACAAGCCACATCTTAGGGAGGATAGCCAACATGTGCCTCCCTAAATCCAAACATCTAATATTAAAATAATTCAGCCTCAGAGTAGCACTAGTGGACTGCAAATCTCTGTTTCTAAATTGTGTGTCATAGCTCTGCCTTTAAACGTTTCCACATAACAGGAAACAACGTATTAACAAGAAGATATCACTTTTATTCCATTCAGTTATTTCGAAAAAGCTCCAGCAAATAATTGGTCCCAGTCAGTGGAATAAAATAAACAGCATCATTGTCAACCTCGATAAAAATCTGTCTCTGATCACAACTAAACAGAGTGACATATATACACTGATAGAAAAAAATGCATTAATCAACTAAAACACTCATTGTTAAATGACAAGAACATAAATGGTATGACATCATGTCCTTTAAAACATGAATGGCATCATATCCCCGCTCACAGCCATACAGCACAACACTTGCATTTGGAATATAACTGGCTATGATGGGCTGAAGGTTTAGGGGGTTTATTTAGTGTATGCAAATATCAGCACACATACTATACAGTACAAGCACGTATGTTTTGCTGGGGTTTGCTCCACAGTTAAAGTGCCCCCCCCCCCCTCTGTGCTCCCATATATGATTAATCTCTACTGGATCAACTGAGGGAAATTTCACCCTACAGTCATTTGGTCAATAGACAGACAAGCGAAAAATAATAACGTGACAAAGCCACAGCGACAAGCACAGTAAACAGAAAAGCCCAGACTGAAGTGGAGCTGAAGAGGCTTAGAGAGGAGAGCAGCACCCACACCACACAGAGGCCTGTTTAAACATTCATTGTGGACATTTAAAAAGGCACAGAGCAGCAGGAGAGTTCAGGGGTCGGAAATTACCACAAATTGCTTCCTTTTAGCTGGAGAGGCAAACAAAGACATCATCCTCCTTCATAATGCTCCAACACAAGTGGAAGCTGACATTATGCTGCCATTCAAGCTCATGCAACATGGAGGAACCAGTGATGTATGAGAGGAAACAAGGAAAGACTCTGCATCAGTAGCCAAACTACATGTATCTTCATGTTCTGTTTAGTGCAGAGGGAGTGTTTAGAGAAATAAAAAGACCGTTTTAATGGATATATTCTATAATGCTAATGGTATGTAAACCTTATGAGATGCTTCATAGAAATGATAACTTGGGCTGGGTATCTAAACATTTTCTTTTGGTATTCAAGTGTTTTAATGTGTCCAATACACCAACATTAGAAACAGTCAACTTGGGCTGCAGCAATTGGTCGATACATCAAGTAATAGTTTTTAACTTAAATAAAATAATTTGGCAATAAAGTAAATTAGAATCTCAAATGTGGCCATTTTTTTAAGATTGACATCACCCTGTGCTGTGAGAAATTGTGAATTTATTTCCTTTCTATTTTGAATCGTGGGTTGTTCTGCTCTAAAGGACTTCATGTGTTTCCTTTGTGAATGTTCAAGTAGAATAAACTTGTCTCGGTTCAGACTATTGCACCTCTGTATTTTCTAATACTCAGGCACAACTAAGCCAGCAACACACACTGCGATTGGTTGATTCCTATATTTGAGGTGCAAAAGCTCATACAAAACAACCTTTTTCGGGAAAATTTAAACTATGCCAACTACTTTCATATAATATGCATGTTCTGTGTCAAAGTATTCATCACAAAATTAATAATTCCTACAAATATTAATCTCAAAAATGGTCCCCAGTTGGCAAACGCCTTAAATCGGTTGTTCATTCAGTCAAAAGCTCTTGTGTGGCTTCTTGCTTTCAGAAAACATTAGACATCTGTGGTGAGGTTTTGTTCAACTGAGAAAACAAGTTTTTGTTTATTGTGGTATTAATCCTGAGACTCAGGTTTCATATCTATGTTGTACTGTATTAAAAAATCAATATACATCTCATAATATCACACAAAGTAAATATTTTACCTGGAGATGTGCCATTACAACTGCCATCATTAGTCTAGGTGAATCAATATCTCTTGTATGCTGACTCTGAGATCAGATTACATACCTAGATTGTACCAAACATCCATCTCCCCGCTGAGGGTGCGGACCTCGATGATGGTCTGGCCCAAGAAGTCGTCCGACTCGCGCTTGAAATGCTGCTTCACCCGAGATTTGATGTCATCGTCTTCGTCCCACACTCGCACCTTGATGCGGTCAGTGGCGTTGTGACATTCACTGTGTTTTGGGAGATGATAATGTCAAGTAAAAACAATCACAACAACATGAACAACAACAGAAACAGTACATTCAGTACCATCATCAGGTTGGGGGTATTCAGTGGAGCAGAATGACATCCAAATGCACAATTCAAGCATAAGTACAAGTTCAGAAACCTTCCTGACTCTTTTCCAAGTATCATATTGAGAACAATGCTTGCCTGAATTCAAATGAGAGTGTGTGTATTTGCGTGTGCACATTAGTGTATATGAGTGTGGAGAAAGGCGCTAAGCCTGCAAGTTGGAATAACTCCAAGACGTTGCATGACCTTTCCTCTGCATCCCTATATATCTCCCAATGCATGCTAATATAATCAGCAAGGATTGTTTATTTGTGAAGGTTTTACGTCCCTCTCTTTGGTCTTCTTTGGAGCGAGGCAGCTGACAGACTTTTCACAATAATGTCTCTGCTAAATAGAACGGAGGTGGCCAAAGCACTTAGCCTCAGATAAGGGTCAGACTGTACGGCTCTGGAATTAAAACCGACAGATTACAGTTTGTTCTAATGACATCTTGGGTGCGACAGCCAGAGAAAGAGTATCTGCAGTGTTTTTTTAACTAATCCCTTTCCGGGGGAAGCGCTGGCTGCCGCCGCTCCAGCAGTCTGGGACTCTCTGCCAAGCATACAGTAATGCATCGCTCTATTAATCTACATCCCTGTAGTAATGGGAAAGAGTTTTATTACAGCCCCCAACGGAGTCTCATTACAGGTGTGGAGCCCCGTTTGAAACTGGCATAGGACTTCCACACACAAATACACACACACACACACACACACCAGATATGCATAACATCTCAGAAGCAAAAAGCAGAACTCTAAAAATAATTTCAGGAACAGTGTCACATTTAAAAGAAAACAACAGCAAATAGAAATACACAGACAGGAACCTCCAGAGGTATGATGCTCGAAATCTCACTGTCTGCGCGAATTAAACAAATATGTCTTAGCTGCTATCTCATTGGTTAAAGTAAACATAATCCTGTGGATCATATCAGGACAGAGGGTCCCAGGTAAGAGGAAAATAAAATAATAAAAAGGTTTGGCTGGGTTTGACGCCTAGTGGGTTTGGAGAGTGGTTTAGACCTGAGTCTAATTATATGTTCACATTATGTTTGGGTTATAACACAAATGAAAGTTCACATTTTGGCCAATTTTCACAACCAATTATTATGTATATATGCATTTCAAGATTTTGTTTTACACATATGAAGAGTTTTGTCTAGGCCATAACCGTTTGATGCAGAAGCTGCAATCAGGGAACAACCTAAATATGACTGCTGTAAAAAACAGTTTAATCTGCTTTTAGTGCTTTGGTTTGGATGCAGGATGGGAAATTGAAGTCTGTTTGGTGACAGTAGGTGATCAGGTGGGTCTTTGCCCTGTGAGAAATGCTAGTTGTTTTGCAAACAGCAGCAGTCTGATCAATAAACAAGTATGCACTGTAGAGTGTGAGCAGCGCTCCCCGAGCTCCCAGCAGGACGTCTACTATTATGTCAAAATCAGCCTGATGTGTGAGAAGCGGCGCATTCGTGGCTCGTGTGTGCTTTCTCAATTCTCGCTAAAGTGATCCAGCTCAAATTGTGTGCAATCTATTCACGTTTGATATGATGAATATAATAATGAATTATAGGTTAACATTATATTGGCATTTCTTTTACGACTTCCTTCGTCTTTGAGTGCTTAGTTGTGCATGACTCCTTCAAAACCTTTCAGGATTTCATGTTTTTCGAAAACATTTCAAGGCCTGGAAAAAAACATTTTGAAATGAAGTGCCTTTTGGGGTTATCTCGACAGTATCCGGCCTATAAATGACAGCATGACAAACATTTTAAGTCATTTGTATTAACCTTTGCTCCAACTGTTGGAAACCTGTTGGAAACCTGTTGGAAACCTGATGAAAACCTGATGCTCAAGGTATAACTAAATACCAACTACTTTCAAATACCATTTTGCACACAGGTCAGGGTTGAACCTTGAAGCTGTTAGGAGGAAATTACATGTTTCTTTTTTAACTTGATCTTATTTTCAGAGTGTCGTGTTGGGGTGAGCTTTGCAGGACTTGGACAGGTTTCACAAAAGCTGCAATTTCCTGCATTTTCAAAACTACTTAACGGGTTAAGTAAATGTTTATGTAGTCTGTGTGAAGAATAACAAATATTCGAACAAAAGGTGAGGCAGAGTGGCAAACAGTGAATTGGATGGGGATGTAACCAAGGAGAAAAGCCTGTGCTTAAAATAAAGGGACAGATGCTTGGTAATAACAATGCAGAGGTCATACTCAACAAGAATCCACATACTACTAACGCATTAGCTCACAAAGTATTTATTTTGATTTTAAAACAACAAGGTTAAGCTTTGTGTTGTGTAAATTGTTAGATGTCATTGTTAAACTGCCTTTAGCAGGGATTGAATTTCCCCAAAACTCTGCAGTGCGGTGCGTAACATTTCATAAAATCAGTGATAAAAATAGAGTAATTGTCTCTTGCGTATTTACTAATGCCTTGAGAAGACCCTGAACTGCTGATTCTTAATCTTAGTGGGGATTATCTTGTCGGGCAGAGGTCAAATTAATAGAAAGCACTCACAAGAAGAACTTCTCATCCCAGACTGGGTTGAGGTTTCCGAAGATGGTCTTCGTCCTGCGTTTGGTCTTGCCCACCTGGACGGTGACGTAAGGGTCGCTGGAGCCCGTTTTATCCTTGGCCTGTAAGCCCTGTGCACTCATTACTGAAGAAACACAGGGTTGGAAGAACAATAAAGGATAGTAAGTACCACAAGCAGCATATTATTTCACCATCTTAAAGTTGTGATATGTCCCTGGATTTATTTTATTGAAGGTTTCTTTCCCTGAACTTAATTACAACAGCACTGATCTCTAATTTAATTCACTCTATTCCCAGGAACGTATTATTGTGGAAGTCATAAACAGGAACCATTGGCCTGGTGGCTGAAGTTTTACAGCAGCCTCTCAATCCCAGTCATAAAGCTACACTATGTGTCTACTGTGCTAAGACTAAGAATCACCACACACACACACACACTGAGAAAGGGAGGTGCAGAGAGGAGAGAGACAGGAGTATTTCACCGCGCCATAAAAGGAAAAAGGACACTGGAGCATTAAATATGCATAAGTGACAGACTAAATAATTCAGGGTACATATATATCCCTCAGCTCAATGCTGACAGAAGTTGGTGTGGAGGATATAGAGGCTGAAGAGCCATGGCCTCCTTGCTCCAGGAGAACTGAACATCAAATGTCTCCCGTAGTGAAAGAGTGGTCAGAGACTGCGATATAAATAGAGGGGTCACTTTGGAATCAGTCAGACCACCCCTCAGCAACACACCTAATGTCCGAACAGAGGGTCTGCCAGAACACAAAACCGCATTTCCTAGAAGCAAACAGTACAATTATCCCTCCCCCACCCTTCTGTATGAAGAACGGCCTTTTGCCACGCCTTTAAGTGTGGCTACATTTCGCATCCCCCACCCAATGCCTTGAACCGAGTAAACTAGGAGCACGGTAAGGGTTTTTAATTCTACATCTGTATTTAACCCTTTACTGTTATTACAATGATGTGTATATTCAACCAGGGCCGTGCAGAAAATACATTAATCTCAAAAAGAGTAGAGATGATAGATTAATGCTAGATTTGAGTCTTTCCAATGTTAAGATGGAAAGAGTGTTGGCTCATAATCCATGTTTTTGCACCATGGGAAAAAGAGTGAACGTCTGTGCATGTTTTAAACTCAGCTGGAAGCATATTCTAATACTGATCCTGTTAAGGTTGGCAAACGTTGTAAATATTTTAAAGGATTAAAACCAAGTTTACAAGACTGCCTTTTACTACAAAGTTGTATTGATTAGAGAAAAGCAGAGTAACAGGGGTGTGTTTGAGCAAGGCTTTAGAAGAAAGTAATAGAATTGTTTTTAGGCAATATAAACAAAGGAAAATCTTCTACAGCGATGTAATTAACTTGTTCTTACTGCGTGCTTGTATAACAATACTGCAATCAGTGCATTTGGAGGTACAATAGCATATTTGCTGATTATCATTTTTAATTAGCAAATGATTGTATAGTATGACTATATTACCAGCAAGTCAAGGTTTACAGTATATTCACTGGCAGACCTTGTAGTATGCACATTAGCCAGTATGAGAATATCTCATGGTCACTGAGAGAGTGCTGCAGAGTCAATGCCAGTCGGTATTTATCTAATGAATGTCGAATAAACACCAACTCAATAACTACATCTTAAAATGGGACGTTCAACAAGCCCCTGGGAAATCGAGTGAGGCAACCATGCGCATTTTCAATTTCTCTCACTCTTCTTCTTTTTCTCTTCCTTGCTATTCCCACACTTTCCTTCCTCCTTTCAATTTGGCTCCCTCTCTCTCCAGTTCTATTTCTCTCCGGTGTATTGGCACTGTGAGAAATGCGAGGTGAGCAATAAATGAGCTGGGCCTGGCACAGCGACCACAGAGCTGGATTGAAGTCGGGGGGTCGAGGTGACAAAGCTAACTTCCTGACCTTCTTTCTTTCAGTTGACTTGAAATAGAATGAAACCCAGCAATGTGTAATGTGTATGTAAATGAAGTAGTAACATGAAAGAAAGCCTTGTAATACTCAAGGATGATTATTCTTTATAGTTTTATGGAGTACTGAAATGAGGATAAACAATATAGGTTATGTAATCAGGGAGTGAAAAATACTGTTGTAAATTCAAAGTAAATGAGGTCATGGGATTCAGATCCTTTTCCCTCAAAAAGGACACTCAACAGACAGTGGTTAGGAGAGTTAAGAAGGAACACACTATGCATTTTACATTTAAAGGGGCCCTATTATGCTAATGTTTAAGTTCATATGTATTTAGTGTCTCTACTGTGACATGTCTCCATGCTTTAATGTTCAAAAAGCTCTTTATTTTTCTCACACTGCCTGTGCTGCTGCACCTCTTTTCACCCTCTGTCTGAAACCAGAGCCCAGTCTGCTCTGATTGGTTAGCTGGCCGGCTCTGTTGTGATAGAGAGGCGAAGTCCCGCCCTTCTACTTCCGCCCCATGGGACCTTATATCGGAAAAATTATGTATTGAAGTCAATGGAGAGAGAAAGATTGTTTTTCGATCTCGTTTGAATTGTGCCACGAATTACACATTACTCGATGTTTGTCAATTTAAAAAATCATTTCCATGTCAAAAAAGTAGCAGTTTGTCGTAAAACTGTTGAAATATAAGACTATGACATTAACGTTACACATTACACTCGTGTCACTCACTGAAACTTTGTAAAGCCGGTCCCGCATGTTGGCTCTTACGGAACCGACTAACTCCCCTTTTGTGTATGTACAGCTCTCAACATGCCCAGACTTGTAGTGATTTTCTCCTCTTTTAATAAGTTTCGCCTCATTCTGAAAGAAAGAGGTGAAATGTGCCAACCATAGACTGGTGCCAACGTGACGGCCATCTTGGTGTTGGTGACGTGTGCGAGACCAGAAATGTAGTTCATTGAGCTTTTCACAAAAAAAAATGTGTTACTTCACAGTTTTACGACACATTTAAAAAATGTTGACTTGCAAAATTATCTTTTAAATTGACAAACATCATATGTGTAATTCGTGGCACAATTCAAACGGGATCGAAAGATAATCTTTCTCTCTCCATTGACTTCAATACATAATTTTTCCGAAATAAGGTCCCATGGAGGTCCACCGGAAAGGGAGGGACTTCACCTCTCTATTGGTCAACCGCTTAGAGGTATCCCGCCTCTTTGCCTATCACGTACAATGTGTTAGAGCGCTAGCCAATAGAAGGGCGTGTGTTACTGACAAGGGTGTAACTTTGGTTTGAAAAGTGGGGGGGACACAAAACAGGGGGTCCTCCGCAATGAAAAATGTTCTCAATTTAATTCCATTTCCTGCCTTTCTACAAATATATTAGGGACTATAGTGTTAACAAATCCAAGAAAAATGTGTAGTGTATATAATGAGTGTGTACACTTATCAGTATCCTATCAATGTGAGTCTGTTTTATTTGTGATGACCTCACATCTAGGGGGGTCCGGGGGCATGCACCCCGGGAAGATTTTTTTCTTGAAATTTAAGTTTAATGCGTCAATCTGGTGCACTTTGAGGGCAACATTAAGAGATTTATGGATAAAGCTCTCAACACTCATATGAAACAGAACTGTATATATTTCAATAATTAAAAAACCATTAGAATATGCTCACAACCAATAACAAATAATTGATATACTCCTTTCTCCATCTTTATCTTACCTAGTCTGCATTCTTTCTTTTTATTTATGCATATTTGACTAATCATTCCCCTTTCAAACTGTGTTTCTTATTTTTGTAATGACCTATAGTACACATTGGAAGGATTTCTTAACTTATTTTATATACAACTAATATTACATAGATGGAAATATTTGTTTACATAGATGACCAAACCATTTGAGACCCACTGAGATAACTTAGACTAAAGTTTACAATCTAATCACTCAGAGTCCTTTACCTCCCTGAGCTGACGTTATCTCTCTCAGTCCCACAGGAGAGGACTCTCCCTCTCCTTATTGTTGAAACAGCTTCTAATCTCTGTTAGCTCCGAGCTAGCACCAGATGCTAACAACAACCCTGTAACTCTCTCAGTCTCTCTCTCTCTCTCTCTCTCTCTCTCTCTCTCTCTCTCTCTCTCTCTCTCTCTCTCTCTCTCCTCTCCCTTTCTCCCCCCTTCAAAGTCCGACAGGAAAGAGCTCTCCCTCTCCTTATTGTTGAAACAGCTACTAATCTCTGTTAGCTCCGAGCTAGCACCAAATGCTAACCCCCGTAAATCTCTGTGTCTCTCTCTCTGTCTCTCTTTCTTTCTATCTCTCTCTCTCACAAGATGCGCTTGTGCCACACACACACAGATGCTCCTCCGTGACGATGACCGCTTGCGTAAAAAAAAAATAATAAACACATTTAAAAAGTGGGGGGGACACAAATGGGATTTTGAAAAGTGGGGGGGACATGTCCCCCCTGTCCCCAGTGGAAATTACGCCCATGGTTACTGATATCACTGTGTTAAGGAAGTAATGGAGGCGTTTCAGGCAGGGGGGCGGGGGAAGTGTTTGGGAGATAAATTCCATCTGGGGGAACTTTAACCTACATGCACAACACTTATAACACACTAAAGGAAAGGGATACCCCCCCAAAAGCATTATAGGGCCTCTCTAAGACTATTTAAAGAGACACTGATTAATCTGGTTTAAATCCATCTAACCATTTTGTAACCCAAGGAACTAATACTGCCCTAAAAATAATTTCCCAACTGAACAAGCTGTAAAGTGCTGTACTGTCAAACTCGCTCAGGGGCACGACACTTTGATTGGCACCTCTGAGAGAGCTCTAAGTGTAGCTGCAGTATGAACAAATCGGTTTGTTAGTGAGCTCAGAAAGACATGAAGATCTCTGTCAGTTACAGCAAGCACTGTTTCACTGCTATCAAACATTGCTTCTTTCTCTAATTATGTTCAACGTGCCTTTGTTTAACATTAGGCAATTTAACCTTTCAAGCCTTCCCACAGCTCAGCTCGTCTGTTGTTTTCAGTGGAGCAGCACATCCCAGTCTGAGCTCCTGTTTGAAATGAATATGTAACCAAAAATATGTCATTGTCTAGGTACACGAGTCAAATGGAAAGTAAAAGAACACGTGTCCTGTTTTCAAAATCTCTTACTTGATGATAAAAAAAAACTACAAACGTATCTATTTGCCGCTGCTTTTGATTGAGCTGTTCATATTCACACTGCAGTGTGGCTTTTATTCATGTATTCTATACCTGTTGTGTTTATTTTATTATCTTTGCTTTTTAAATGCCTGTTTTTAAATGCCATTTTATAATGTGTTTCTGCTGTATTTCTTCTTAAATCTAATTTACTTTGTAAAGCACTTTGGATTGCCTTGTGCTGAAAGGTGCTATATAAATAAACTTGCCTTGCCTTGCCTTGCCTAAGATCCTTACCAACCAATTACATTTCCCAAAAATCCCTGATCAATTCCTATTTCTATATCTCATTCAATATGCATTGATGATCAGTTCAGCGTCAGAGGTTAACGGCCGAGACCACGGGGTTAATAACAAACTGATACTTATTAGAATAACAATATTTGTCATTTGAGATGAGCCTGGCTGATAATGGCATTTGTGTGGATTTGGCACCGGAGGGCTGAACCAAGAGGTTATAGGTCATGGACCAAAGGTCAAGGGTCACCTGCTGCAGCACCAAATGTATAAAGGATGTATCAACGTCCAGATGATTGATGGTTAATGTGCAAATGAGAGCTAATAAAAACTCCTCATCCCAAATGAAAGATGCTGTCATGGTGAGATTATGAATCCAAATGTTGATGAATGTTTTGAAGAATTAACTTTCTGATATAAATACGGACACCAGGCTAACCTGTGATGGTGATTTTGGCCGACCACTTGGAGGTCCCATCCAGAACCGCCTGTTTGGCAGTCTTCAGATGGCTGGTGAGTTCTTCTTTGGAGACGTGGAACATCTCCTGGATCACCTCGAACACTTCAGGAGTGTTTTTCTCCCGGATCTTCATGCGCTCCTTCATAGCCATGATGATATTCTGGGTCTTGTCCTCCGCCCCGTGCTTGGAGCTCTTCTCCACCGCCCCTGAAACAAGAAGTCAAAGAGCTCAGTATTCTGCATATTTAATACCCAGGAATTAGGTAAGAAAACTGGTGATCCATCAAAGTGGCAAAGTATCTATCATATGTATTCAACACGTTTTTGTGGACACCATATTTTAAATAACTCCTAAATCTCTGTCTCTTAAACAAGAGTGTTCAATACTGTGCTATCCCATCCAAGAACCAATCAATTGTTGCCACTATGACTCTGAGTGTGTGTGGAGGAAGGGAAATAAAGGCTGGTGTATATGAGTGTACTTAATGATGTGAATGTGTGTCTGTTAGACAAAAGACGTGACGGTTCATTCTCTGTATCTGATAACAGTATTATCATTCCAGAGTGTGTTCATGAGAGCAGATTGAAATGTGATAAAGATGAATCACAGCTTGAACTGCAAAACATTGTTCTGCTGGAACAAAACTGTTATAAAAAACAGCCTGGGTGTAGCTAATCCACTTATAGTGTGTGAGGATTGCCGTGAGGATCATCCTGAAGCCGGCATGTCACATTGTTCCTGTTTGACTACGCCGTAACAACAGGGTGAGCCTGATTGAAAAAACTGATTAGAGGCAGTGATGAGTGCGGTGAGCGGTGTAAATGCACCGTGTAGCAATAAGTGGAAGGGGATATGTAAAATGTACAAATCCCCGTAACAGCATTGACGTGTCCTGCAGGCATTTCAATGTAGTGTTGGTATTTATAGAAATGTGGGAGATGAAGTGCATTGTGGACACCTAACAGATTCCCAGACAAACCATGTTTTTAGGTTGAACAGATTCAAAACATTTTTGAACGATTAAAAGCCAACAGTTTCAAAACAGTAGATCTTAACATCAGACTGTAAGATCATAAGTATTCAATTAAATGAAAGATATATGGAGTTCATAGCATGATGGAGGGATTGTCTTTGCACAGATCTCTCCATATGCCGACGTCAATGCTAGTAGCTATTAGCGCTAGCAGCTGACTTAGTAAACAACAGCAAACAGTTCACAATTCACCGAGTTCATTTGTTAACCTGAGAATGAACCAGAGGGTGAACGCTAGCTTCTGTGACAACTCTGTGGGTCACGACAACGTTATCAGCAGTAACCACTGTAAGAGCACAGGACAATGCAGCGGCCACCGCTAGCCACACACGTGATAGCATAGCATGCAGGCACAGCCGGGACTGCTATGTACACGAAGCGCATAGAAACTCAGATAACAAAAACACAGTGAACTTTATTCTCTGCTCAGGTAGTCATTACTCCAGAATGTTTAATATAGTAAATAGCTGCATTATTAATGTTCTGAATGTCATGCATAAATACGATTGACATGTAAAAACGAGAATGACTGCCGCTTTTGTGAATGCATTTTCTATACAATGCAGTTAGCCGGAAATCACACTTTCTCTCTCTCACAAAGACACAGAGCACTGTCCTCACAAAGGCATGATTGTGAATACATGCCTTTGAGTTTCAATCCTGTGTGAACTGTACATCAAAGCAATATGGGATGAATGCACTTCCTTACTTTGTAAACAATCTGCATTAAGCAGGTCCTGGCACTTATCGTGGCATTTGACGCCACACTCTGAGCAGCGCATGCCCTGCCGGGCGATGCCCCACAGCAGCCCCTCGCACTCATGGCAGTAGGTCGGTGCCGTCGCCGTCCACACCTCAAAGTTATGGGGTGTTGTGGATGAAATTGGGTAGATCAAGGCCTGGAGAGTCTTCTTGAAGACATGTTGTTTCTGAGAAAAAAGAAAAGGCATTGAGAAATTGAAAGAAATAATGAGGTATGGAGACAATGACAGACAATGAAGTGAGAAGCAGAGGAGCTAGGCTGACTCATGGCACTATAAGCTTGAGACAATAACAGTCTTATTAACAACTTTAAAAGTTAATAAAAAAGCAACTTTGTACCAAGATTGCTTTTCATAAATGTTCAATACATGGTGAGATCAGTAGAATAACAGAGGAATACTTCAGCATCTGCTAAGGGAAAGCAATAGACTAATGTCATCAAATAAAGTTCATTTCAAAATTGATTTGCAGTGTGAGTAAGATTACATTTACAATAAACTTCTGCGCCATAGTAATCTTACATCTCATCTTTTATGAATCGGCCTGCAGCTATTATTCATCATAACTCCAGATTTTTTCAACTTCTCTTCTTAGAGAAAGGGATCTAACAGATTGTACTATTTGAAGAAAAAACATGTATGTGGCTGTGTTGATCCCTTCTGATTACCTTATCATCAAATGGAGAGGTCAGTTGAATGAGAGTGAATCAGTCATGCATCTCATTAAGCGTAGATTAACTGGCCACTGGCTTTGTTCACATTGAGTGGTTTACTGACTAAAGCTCCTGGAGACAAAATAAGAAAGTCTTCCAGAGGCCTGTCTAGACTGATTGCTGTGTAACAGAAGCCTCTTCAAATTGAATGCTTTAGTGCAGCAGCCCTGCCACCCACAAGGACTGGAAAACGGCCCGGGACTTGCCAATTCTCGAAGGCAGAATCAATGGATGCTGTAAATAAGGTTTTTAAAAGTGAGCATTATCCAGATTGAGAGGGAGCGTGCAAGTGAGGGAGAAAGTGACAGAGGAAGAGAAGGAGATGTATGGCGGTTGAATAAATCTTCAAGCGGTACTTGCTCTCCACTTCTTCTACGCTCCACTCCTCCCCCCCCCTCCCTCTGTTGTCGGCCCCATGTGTGTTGTGCTTTAACACCTGAACAGCAGCCCTGCACTTCACCACAAAGACTGCTTCACTGCTCACTCGAGCACACTTACAGACACAAATACCCACACATGTACACTTGCACATGATGAAATGGCACCAGATGACAGGACAAGAAGGCCCTCTAACACTGTGAGACGCTGTTGATGGAACAGAGAGGCCACTGAACCCTGGGAAGCTTTAATGAAACACAGAGGCAGAGACAGCAAGATTTTCCTTTTAATCTAAGGACGATGAGATGAAGCAGATGTCTGAGATGTATCCTCAACTTGCACACAAGCTAGGTCAGGGAAGCTTGCTCTTTGCCACATTTACTAGTGAACCGTTAAATAAGGACACAGCCTGAAGGATATGCGTGAGCCAGAATTTCTGTGGAGCGTGGGAAATCTCAGAGACCTCTCTATCATGTGTTTTTATCAGAGGGCTGACTTGGCAGGTAAATAATAAATATCCATCCTTTAGCTTCTTTCTGACCCGCCAACTAAAAGTTAAAATGGTACTAAGCATGTACTACGTAAAACGGTTCCACCTTGGTGTTTTTTTATACAGTAGTAGTTCACTATTCATCTGTTTCTGTCTCTTTAAATTTCCCTCCCTCTCTCCGGCTTCTCACTTTCAGTCTCTGACGCTGGACGTCACACTGTGCAGCAGATGTGGGAAGAGTGCTGCGTGTGTGAGTCTCATGTGTTACACCGTGAGGTAACCCTGGTGATTTTGTGCAAGACACTGCAAGAATTGATTGACAGGCGCAGCGTCTGCCTGAGAGCAACATGACAGAGAGGAATCTAATCTCTCCTCCTCCTTTCACCCCTCCTTTCCAATTTCACCACCTATTGTCCTTGTCAACAGCTTCATTGGCCGTGCCATCCTCACCGTCCTGCTCCATCCGTCAACACCTCCAATCTTTTACTTTAACTACCTTTCCAGCCCTAACAAGGAATCCATGGTGGTTTCCGCAAACCACAAGACAGTGTGGGGTTGATTTGGATTTCTGAAAGTACTTTAAACAGAACTGATACGAGGAATCGAAAACTCATTTATTAGATGATGAACAGGAAAATAATCACCAACTATATTGATCATCAATTCATCATGTTAGTAGTTTTTCATGAAACAATAAAAGATAATGCTGCTTCCAGCCTCACATATTGAGGTTTCTGGATTTAGTTTATGATATAAGAACATTTTAGAAGTAATTCACGGTATAAACTATTTTATGAATGATTGGTTTTAAATGGAAGAATTATGCATCACTTTCCACTAGAGCTGCAACCATTTTTCAACTGATCTGTCAATTGGCAGAAAAATAATTGCTAACTATTTTCATAATGGATTAATTGTGAGTCATTTTTCATGCAAACATTTGTAAAAAAGCTGCCTCTAAATAATGAAAATGTCCTGCTTTTCTCTGGTTCAAATTCAATTAAAATGTACATTACATATATGACTGTATATCAAATCAATGTCTTTTGATTTTGGAAATAAAAACAAGACATGTAAAGAAATCACCTTGGACAAAACTAGGATGGACATTTCTTACGATTCTCTAGAACAAACGATAACTCATTTATCTCGAAAATAGGCTGGAAATAAATCTATACTGAAGAAAACATCAGTGACGGCCATCATTTTAAACTCAATCTATTATTTGTCTGTCTGGTAAGATTCAAACGACCGTTCAAAATGACTGTGGTGGATATCAGAGGCAGGCATTTTGAAATCAATGTCGTATAATGTTGCCGCCTGATGACATATGAACCGTCTTCAAACAACTCATCACATCTTATTTCCTGATACTCTTTGACCCATGTCAGATTGCGGCTCCCTTGGTCCTTTGTATAACTGAGTCAATGCCTTTGTCTCAGCAGGTAACCTCAACCCCAGTTCTTGTTGACAGTGACTGTTAAAAGGCTCTGGTGCTTGGATCACATGCAGCTCAGAACATCGAGCGGACACACGGTCCGTTAGCAGGCGCACACATAATGTTTCTTTCTGCTCTAAAAAGCAGAAACATGGGATACATGACGCAGGATGAGAAAGAGAGACTTATATATACGTCACCAATGACAGAGTAAGATATGTTAATCATATTAAAATGTATCAGAGGAGACAAATAGAAGAGGTGGAGCAGAGATGAGAAGAAAAGAGGATGGAAGACAGAAGCTCTCTAAATAGGTTAAACATATCTCGCGGGACTGGGGGGCGGATTGTTCAACATGGCTGGCTGATCAGTGACAAATCAGGGCCAGAGGGTCATGATGAGGGGCTCTGATCTTCTCTAAATTCTCCTCTTATTTCCCTCCATTTATCACCCTTCCATTCTCCTCTCATCCCCCAACTCCTACACACTCTTGAACAGCATATGGCAGTTTACTGACTACTCTCGCAGCCCTCACAGGAAACCACTCTCCTGGACTTAATGCAGCCGATACAACTCTGACATCTGCTCGTCCTACTTAGCAAGAACATCAGATCTGCAGCTTTGCTCGGAACCGGGCTCCCCTCGGCCACCGATTATTATTATTCTCTTTCTTTGCTAGCTCCGACTTAGATTATTGGACATCTCACCCTCAAATCCTTACTTACCACTGTGATGCAATCTCCATTTTTGCCGAATAATCATTTCCCCTTCCTACACCAATTAACATCCATCACGTCATTTCTCCCTCTCATCTGGGGCATGAGTCATTCATCCCTAAAGCCCCTTTCATAAGACCCATAGCTATTAGTAAGCAATCAAGACCCTGTCACTGTAGGGCAACGGAACATGTGGACCACTAGGACCGAGTCAAGTGATACGGACATCTACACAAATCAGTGTGCCCAAATTGATGTCTCATGTTTGAGAAGATGAAATATGTGTGGATGATGCACACAGTAAGTCGGTAATCTCCTAGGTTTATGCAGCCCCTTGTTGCACACCATTAGATATGAAATTGTCTGCTTGTTTGTCTTGCTGTGAAACTGCTTTCTCCTGCTGTTTGCAGCCTATAATGCCACTTCCCTGGGGGAGGGAAGAATTGAAATCAATTAATGTGGAGAGCGCTTTGGAGGTGTCTCACTCCATCTGCCTTCTTCCGTAGCGTTCTCTTCCTCCATGCTCAGTGTTTATGAGGGCATGGTCTGAATGGAAGAATGGGGCTATCTCCGAGTATCTGAACTCCTCCAAATAATCGAACAGGAGGAGCACAGCGGAAGGAGAGAGCAGCTGGCCGCAAAGACCATTTTAATAAACTGCGGCTTGTTGTATAGACTGAGTCAGGCAGACATGCTGTATAAACAACCAAAGAGAAAATACCAGTAACTAATGCAATCCATCTCATTTTGGAACCATGTGCTGTGTTCCTGGCAATGTGGTCCCAGGCCCTAAAGAGCAATGGCTGCACAAACAGCACAGCTATAAATGTGTGTTGCTGCACTCTCCTCTCAAAACACCACCCCCTAAAATATAATGAGAACATGGGTACAGCATCCCACGTCCCTGCAGTGTATCCCATTACCCATAAGCCGCCACAATGAACAGACAAGGACTTTCCATGCAGCATGTTAGTACTCACCAGGTCTACATCATTCAGGGTGGAGCGGTTCACCAGAGCGAACGAGATGCCTGCCTTTCGAGCAGTGAGGGTCTGCGAGAAGAAGAGGAGGAGAGAGATCATGAAGAAGGATACATCCAGGAACACATTTTACATATCTGCAGTTTTGTACAGTATCTGAATGGATTCACACACAGCAGCATGTAGCTGGTGAATGGATATTAAGCCTTGCAAAGATTTGACGTACAAACTTAAAAGCATTAGGAAATTAGCTAACAAAAGTACATGAATAAATACAAAATGTTTCTGCAGACAAAGCATTCATCTTTAGCTCTTGTTTCCTTAGCTTGTGAACAAGTGAAAACAGAGTCAGCTTACCAAAGCCTGTGATTTCCAAAGAGGCCGTGAATAGAGAATGAAAGAAAGGAAGACATTGAATTAGACAAGAAGTGGGTGGGTGAATGGTGAAAGCACAAACAGCAGAAGAATTGTATTTATTATCCAAACTGAGCACATAAGTGCCTCTACTGTCATGCAGGACTGCTGGTTAGGCCGCAGCGCTCTAGAAAGATTCAACTATTCATCAAGAGAAATTATACAGCCGTTGCATGATTTGTTTTATCCACTCATGCACTGGAAGTTACTAAACTGCAGTCATGCTTGGCATTTATATTCAGTTCTCTGTTGGATGAAGCTTTGATCATATTTTCTGCTGTCTGCTCTGCACATTAGTTAGACACAAACAGAGAAACACAAGACGCACGCACTCACGTATGGGTGAAGCCAGCTGTACTGCACAACACAGACTCTCCCACACACACACACACACACACTCACAAATATACTTAAACATTAAACAGAACACGCCCACACAAACAAGTAACAGACACACACACATATACACATATGTCAATTAGCTGTTTCTATATCAACTGAGTTTGAGTGACCAGAGATTGTTAAACAGTTATCCCATACTGGAGAAAGTTACGATATTTAACAGAGGAATGCAGACATGGACAGCTGACAATATTGGATCAGTCTTTACCACGACCCTCTTGAGTGTACAGCCCAGCTATGGTAAAGATCCATGGCAGCCATGGAGTATGTAGAAGGGAACGTGACCTCTACATGAACCGTGAGTGTTGATGTAAGTTTATCAACATGCACCAGCACTGCTGAGGTTGCTACGGGCAATACAATATGACCCTGTGTCCAGATGATATAGCATCAAATGCATTGTGAATCCATTTTCAACACTCTGTTTTTTTGTTTGTTTATGTTTTTGCATCCCGCCATGGTGCGGGGGGACCCTGCTGTCCTTTCCAATTAAACGCTGCTGCTGCCCGGAAGCAATCACACAGCCAACGGGGGTCATTGACAAAGGAGAGGCATGAAAGGGGACCAATTAGTTTGCTGAATACTGACTTCATCCCACGTGTAAAAGGCTTGCTCAGTGTCACTTTTACATGATTTAAAAGCCCCACACAGTTAAATCAGAAGTCAATGAAGTCTCTCGGATATATTTTTGGGTGGAGTTGTCATCATTTCGAGTTAAATGCAATTTTTTTCAACACCTGCCGAGCAAAAAAATTAAAATGAAGAACAATGCCCAAGCATCGACGAGGCTGAAATCTGACAACTCACTGAAAAATATCACCCATAGCTGTTATGGGTCTATGTAGGAATGGCATATATACACGCAAAATCCAAAAAATAATTAAATTTAAAAACGACAACCCATACTTACCAAGACATTGTTGGTTATTAATTTCATGAGAGATATGGACAAATACAGCATCAACTCATGTTGTTCACTGTAATAAACATTCATCAGCATCTACGTGTATGACATCAAGCTGCATCATTATATTTCACAAGAAAAATATATTGTAAGAGTATCAAACAGGTTGTTTTTAAATAAACTGAATTTAAGAGCTCTGATTATTGTTTTCCAATATTTTGACTAGAATACATGAAGATGAGAAACAAACATCAAGACAGACGGACACTGTGCAGCACATAATGGACCAACAGTTATAAGCACACATGAATAGTATTGGCACGGCAGCATGTTGTCTCTCAGAAAGGCTAACCATGTGGCACAGTGCTAGAGTGGACCGCTCTGCAACATGCGTCTCTGTGGGAAATGTTACGACACATTATGTTGCAATAAAAACAAATGGGGGAGCATCACTGTGATGCAATATCTTAAACACCCTCGCTAAGACAATTCATCAAGCCATAGAGTTATGGCTAAGGTTACATTACAAACTCCCACAAAGCAGCAGCCTACACTCAACAAAAGAGCTTTAAGTGGTTGCTTTTATCACCAATCAAACTGTTTACTGGCATGTTTTTATCACAATAAAGGTTTATGGGCTTTTTTTTAAAAGCTATTTAATTTGTTTAACTATAGCAGGTCTATATATGGGAAGAGAGCATTTGTATTCCTCCAAATTGTATGTGTGTGTAACAAACAAGTACAAAAAATAACATATCCAGATTACGTTTGATTACCATTGTTGTGTTAGAGAATACAGCTTAAAATAAACAAGGTTACTATGACTACTAGGCGGGTCCAAGGATATCATATAACAATAAGAAACAAACATTATATTGAGTTCCTAGTAAAGTTATTATTGTCTTCTGCAGGGGTCCATACTCACACAGAGCAGGATTCCACCAGCGTGTCACAATGTGGGGTCACTCAGATAGATTTGACATAAATCACACATAACCTTGTTCAGGCGGATGACTCACCAGGTCTCGGACAAGAGGCACTATCCTCTTGCGGCGTAAATCTGGCATGCTGTCAATACCATAAAGAATACTGCCAGACCTGGAGAAGCAGACAGATTTAAAGTGTATTAATATCATAATAATGCCGTGCTGGGGGAGACATTACAACGGAGAAAGGGGGGCTTTGATTTACACAGCCGGCGATGCCATGGATCACGCCTCCTACCTAACCTGTCCCACCCCGTCCTCTGCACTTCACACGGGGCCGACCGCCAACAGGAGAGCTCCATGTGTTCCCCAGAGGTTAGAGAAGTACTCCGATCTTTTACTTATAAGTTAAAGTAGCATTACTAGTGTGTACAAGTACTCTAATACAAAGACAAGTTCTGCAATAACAATGGTACTCAAGTAAAAGTATTTGCATCCAAATCTACTTAAAGTACCAAAAGTACTCGTTATGTAGGAAGGGCAATTTACTTTGAGTTGCAGCTGGTAAAGTTGTAGCTAATTTTCATTCATTATTCTATTCTAGTTTATTAGTTGATTTAAGGTTTGATTTATTAATCGAAACCTGCAAAGTAGCTAGTATCTAAAGCAAACATAATTGCAGTTTTAAAAAAAAAAAGCACAATGTTATCGCACAAAATGTAGTGGAGTGACATGTTGAAGTAGCTTAATGTGAAAATACTCAAGTACCTCAGATTTTCACAAAAGCATATTGATTTGATTTTACTCTTTTACATTCTAGCACTGGTATTACTTATTATCTGCTGTATCTGTAGACCCTGTCTCTTTTATTGTATCTAAACGATTATACTGCTGCATTCATACCTGTTAATACATATATCATTGAAATGCATTGTTATTACATTTTTAAATACTGAAGTTGGAATTCTTTTCTCCATTCCTCACAAGTAGACACTTGAAGACGACTTCTCCTCCGTCTGCGCAACACTTTTTTAATCTCTAGCTTTCGTCTCACTCTCTCCATCCTTCAACTCTCTTGTGCACGACTGTGCTCCCTCGCTGCTTTCCCGTGAGGCTTTCAGTGGCATCACCTCAACTGTCACTCAAAGCCTCTCTAATGACCTCAACATGACATCAATGCATGCACAAAGATAAAACTCCTCAAGCTTTCCTGTCAGTGCTCTCAGCGACATCAGTGGAGTGACCCTAAAGATACACAACGTGACGAGCTGTGCCGCCCCTCGCCCCTCCCGAGGGTCCGTGCTCCCCGCTGCCTCTTTGCACTAAGCAGGCTGCAAAAGGCTGCAAAGTCCTAGCATTAGCTGGGGTAATGGAGGTTAAATATGATTGTTAGCTGTTTTTTCTTTACGGCAAAGTCTATCTTTCACGTAGGTTTTCTACAGTGATCGTTTGAATGCATTTCAGAGTCATTAATTAGGTGTGTGAAGCCAAGAGGTTAAGTTTCTTTACAGATGTTGTGAAGGCATCAGACATCTTGAACATTCATCTTCTCGCTGTGGTTGGTCACAACATTGGGAGTGTGACATCTTAACAGGGACAGCATGCCAGAGAATCAGCATGTCTGCAACATTTGTGCTTCATATGCCTCAGCATGGGGGCACAAAACAGCACAGTAGCAAAGATTCATGTGCTTATAAACAGATTAGATTGGGAAATGAGCCACAACTCACCCTTCAGACTGCAAGCCGAGCAGTTTGGGGTCCAAAAGACTGCGAGGCTGCAGAAAGAAGAAACACACCATGTAAAACAAGCAATACAAGGTGAGTGCAAACAGCTCAACACAAAGCGAGCAGGAGCTATATCAAAACAAAAGAAAAAGCATTGTGACTTTGGGTACTTTGGGAAATACAGTAGATTGGGAGGTCATTTCAGGATAACAAAATTTTAGGGGAGGAGGAGTACAGCACAGGGAGGAGGGAGGGAAGCGCTACAGGCAAAAGACCAAATTATTCCACATCAATGTAATTTGTGGACTGAAGACTGAGAGTGTTGCCGCTCTCAGTGCTTCAGGCAGGGTTTGAGTATTGTGTAACACTCGCTCTTCACTGACCAAAAAAGTTCAGTTTGCAACACAAATCATTGTCAGCAAAAGGGATAACACGGATAACCAGCGCAAAACAAAAACAACAACAACAACAGGATGACTCAAAGGCACAGGATACATTCTCTTTCATACTTCCGGATATCATTTCTACAGAAAACCACACACACTCTTACGGATACAGCCAGGTATTATTTCAAATCCGCTTCAAAATACACACTTAATCCACACACCACAAAAGACAGATTTAAAATCACGTACACAAAAAGAGACATGCACATGCCATAAATCACAAGGGGTTCATGTGGTCGACGATAAACAATGACTTTCAACCTGTGTATCCAAATCTCCGCTGTCTGCAGGGAGAAAATGACAGAAATGTGGAGAGTTAGGTAGGAGCAGCTGCAAAATATACACACTTAGTTAGGCCACTTATCTGCTATCACCACCTGATGACACAATTCTGTGCTGCTAAACAATTTATGCAGAAATGGAGACACAGTCAACATTTGCTTCAGGGAGAATGGCTTTGAACTCTGAATACCCTATAAAGTAGAAGTAGAAAAGGAGGCTCTCAGATGACGGTTGAAAGGCGAACATGTATAGTGTATGTAGATTAAATCTATGCAGCACAAATCAAACAACAATGCCTTTGATAGATAACATCACCTGAGTTAACCATCACATCTATAGAGACATGGGACATTAGGTAAGCATAGGCGGCTGGTTTCATATTGCCATTTTGAATGCAAACAACGAGAGGGCAAGCTCTTTCAATAAGCAAGACTGCAGAGGTGTAATTACTGTGCTATTGATCCATGGGTGATAAATGGCAGCATAATCATGACCTAACGTGTTGCAAACAGAAAACAGCTGTTCACAAGAGAACGATCAAATTACTGCTCTGATTAAAATGACATGATACACGGTTTCTTGTCTGCGTGCAGTTACCGCATGATCAGTATGAGGCAATGCAAATGAGCTTCTTTCACTTGTATCTATTCAAATGGGTTTGGTCTGCTTGGTTGAAAGTGGTGCCCTGGTAAAAAAAATCACATCATTAAATTATTAATTGATAACCATTAAAACAGCAATTACTACCCACTTGCCCAATGATTGAGAAGACAGTACATAGCATGTGCGGGATGCTATTACACAGTGTGCTTTAGGACCATTAGTGTTTACCACAAGTGCATATCTTTTTATAATGACGCTCCTTATGGAGGCGCTGGTTCTATGAAAAAAACTTTAAAGGTGACATATTATGCTCAATTAGGTTCACAGCAGGTATATTGGCCCTATTATAGAACATGGTTACATAGTTTAATGTTCTAAAAACACTTAATCAACTCCTTTATGAAATGCTCGGTTTTAGCCCTGTCTGCTGTTATTGGCTTGAGAGGAAAATTGAAAATGTATTTCTCAAGCCATTGTTGGAGATACTCAGAAAGATGGCTCGTATATTCTATTAAGCCTATATGTGCCAAAAAGAAGGGCAGCCAAATGTGAATGGCTTGTAAATGCCATGTCTTCTGACCGAGGCAGCCCAGAAAATTCAATTGGACAGGATTTCTCCGACTTTAAATGCTTTCAGTAAACACTTTACCTTTTTACAATTTAACTATTCAAGTATATATATTTCAGGAAAAATATATATTTGTAGAGAAACTGCAATCTTAGTACAACTGTGCGAATATATCTTTTTATAGGGGCAGGCGGTACAAAAAGGTTGCATACACGCAGAGACTCAGCACTCAAAGGAGAGCTAAGCCGAAAGTGGGTACCATGGACAGCGATCAGCTAAGCTACTTTCAGCACTGCTATACAAGATAGAGCCATCTCCTCGAGCAGCGAGTCTGCAGCTGCACTAGATAAAGCCAGACCACAAAGATAGGCTATAGACTGCTGATATAAACCTCATTTCACAGGTGCCTTCAATCTGTGGAACAAAAATGTGATTGATTGGTAGGAAACAGCCTCTCTGTGTGCTGCGTGCAACATGTTGAGGTTCCAACAGTAGCAGTAAATCCTGTATTTCAGTACCGACACACATGGTCGCTCTGTACATAGATCCAAGCTTGCCGGAGCAGAAAAGCCGCAACATGGCTGATAGTATAACCAGGACTGACCCCTGCTCCGACACACTCAGAAACATGTGTTTTTATGTGGACACGTTCAGGCATACGTTAACACAGAGACGCACTAACGCACACATAGTGGTGTGTGTCTTGGTATAAATAGACAGTGTGAGGGAATAATTCTGTCTTTACTCCTAAATATTTAACCTTTCTGTGTGTTGACGTTTACGACCAACCCTAAGTCTGTTATCTGTCTTAAGGAATGGGAAGTCTCAGCTATTGTTGACATTACCAGTTTTATGTCAACTCTCGTTCACAGAGCCTAAGAGTCAGATAAGTGATTCAGTGTCTTCAGGTGTTAACGCCCCAATATGTTGTTTACTCTCTGTAAACTAGATAATTGAGAGAGAGGCTGATCAGAATTGACATGACAACCCCCCCCCTGCAGTCAGAACCTTTTGCTGCTGTGACTTGTGATATGAACTCTCCGGCCGTTTGACTTGTAATAAACATCATTGTTTGACATCAAAGCTCCAACTCTCCTCGTGTCTCTCTGAGTCCTGACTCTCCATTGCTGCAGAAGTTTCCCTTACAGAGAGCACACAGCGGTAGAAACAGTCCTCTTTGCCAGCATGGAAATCAATATTAACTCCAGAAACCCTTAATCATCGATGAGTCATTTTGTGAATACCGTTATTTTTACAGATATTTTTGAGTATTCAACACAATAGGTATGCTATGATCGCAGTCCAAACGTGTGAGTGTGTGAGGCCATGAGGATAATTACAAGGGAGCTTATGAAGAACAGAGGTAATTAAGATAATAAAGAGGAGCAGGACCTCTGATAGCAACTCAAAACCTCTAGCCTTCCTTGGAAATGTAAGGCTTGAGTATAAAAGCTAGCAAGACTGCAAGAGTATATGGGCATGCACACGTCCCTTAAGTGCGGCAAATAAATGTTCCCTATGCAGCAAAAAGCTACAGCCCAGGCGCCTTTGACACTTTTTTTGTTAGTGAGAATAAAATAGATTTTATACTAAATAACTTATACAAGATTAATCTCTTCGGCCATGTTCACATTGCCATTTTTTTGTACTTTTAATACATATGGTGTGAACTGGGGTAAGTTCCGGTTTAAAATTACCTTTTTTTTCAATAACTAATCATTTACTGTCTCTTTTTTTACTTTATTAGTGTTGCCATATCATTGTGTAATAGAAAGCGCTATATAATTGCCATGTATGATAATTATTTTGTGTTTTTAATATATGCATATCACCTACATTGCATATTGTCATTTCAGTATGGGGTTGGAACCTTGCAGCGTATCTAGGGTAATAACATCTCAAGCGTTACTTTTTTTGCACATTCTGCTAAATATTAAATCCACAGACCTCTCTGCAGAGAGCAGAAGGATTGTGTACAAGTACATTGAGGGAGAAGCAGGAGAGAGGAGAGACCATGAGGGCATGGCTGACATGACCTCCAGTTGTGTTCTGGCACATGGGATCAGCGCAGCGAGACCCCAGCAGACCTGAAGTGAAACCACCCTGATAAAAATGGAAGAAAAAAAGCTCACTGGAGCAGAAAAACCGTCTGGTGTCAACGAAAACACTCAGTTACTAGTCTCAACGGGAAAGTGACTAAATATCTAAGTGAAGCATAATACTAGCACCTTTTTATAGAAATGTGATGAAGTCTTTCCATCACGCAAACAATAATGCTACACTGTCAGCTAAATATCAATAAACATTCAGGTAAAAGTTAAAAAGACATACATAATGTAATACTTGAAATGTTCTATTTTTATGAACAGCTTCTTTAGCATTACCTAATGCTGCCTAGTTCAACCAAGGCTACTGAGGCGTGCAATATTAACACATCAGAGAAACAGTTCTGGCCTGGTTGTTAATAAAAATGTCCATATTCCCATTCAGTGCAAAGGCATGATTAAGGCTGACCTTCATGCTGCTGCTACAGTACATTGGCCTTCAACACTTGCACTTTACTAATGATCAAGATTTGTTTCTAACAGCAACAGTCAACCTCGGTTTATTAAAAAAAATCTTCCTCTGACTCAGTATTAGTTCATCAGACCCGACAAAAAGTATTTATGGGCTGGTTTGTTTTCATCCCACGAGTAGGCATATTCAGGTTATCTCAAATATAATCAATTAGTGAATTATATATTCATTTGTGAAGGTCAGACCAATTTTAGTATTTTATATTATTAATTCAAAATGAACATTGTTGACACTTACAATATGATCAATACGATTTTCAGTTGACTCAAATATAGATCATTATGTGCTGTTCGGTGAGATGTATATACAGATTTCTGCTACCTTTATGTTGTGTATTTATTTATTTATGACGTTACGTTGGATTTTCATAGCCTTCAACGCATGTATTAGTTGACTATATCATTATATAATCGATGTAATACATTGTGTTTCATATTATCATATATTAGACAACTAAAGGCTGCATTATAAATAATTTCTGTCTGGATACAGGATGACAGATCTGTGATAAAACAGTGAGAGCTTTCACCCCTCCACGCTTTGATGTAATGACAGGTTGTGGCTCAGAGTGAGATGTGAACGTCATGGGTGCCTCTGCTACTAATGTGTGCCCTTCGTGTCCATCTGATGACTCAAACAATACCACATGACCAGACCACATCCTCCTATAGAAGAAACATGCATCATCTACTGTATATGTGCACTCGCTGTTCCCATCAGCTCCGATTTCTTCAGCTATGACTAAATGTGTTTGAAGCTATGTCAGGCTGATTTCAGAGGGTTAATATTGTTCAGTTTCTGCTCAACAGTTCCAACCTTTAGGCATGAACGAGGAATAGAACATTGGGGTAAAACGGGGTAATTGGCCTTTCTATTTAAAGATATGTGCATTTTGTTTTTTAAACTGAGATCTAATTTGAACATGGCAAAACTACTATAACATATTTAGTTTTATGATATTATTCTAGTTTTATTTAGTGGGAAAAGTATAAGCATGATGATAAAGAGGAATATTTGGAATTCCCCAATCAGAGAGAGGATACTGTGTGTCTAATCTGAACGCCATAGATATGATATGAGCTAAAGTATTATAATTAATGTCAGCTCTTCAAAGGTTTAAGAGTAAACTGTGGCGTTGAGCCCTGTTTACTGCAGTTAAATCAAAACAGCAATATTGAGTCTGCCAGTGCTTTGAATTGGATAGTATCATCTAAAACAACAACAGAGACTCTTCATTCCCTGTGTCTGCATTTTTCATACACACACACTTTCATGAGAAATGGTGCACTAAGCATAAAGAGGGTCTAGCTCCTTTGCTCCCCTAAGAGCAAGCAGCAAACTTCACTAGCAGCAGACCTCTATAAATATTCCAAGCAAGGCTGACCTGGTTACAGAATGCCCTTGGGAGTGTGAATTAGCATCTGAATACATACACTGCTGTAGCCGGTTGAAGACAGGCTTGGCAGGAGTGGCAGTACTGCTGAGACTCCCTCCACAGCTCCCTCACAGACCAGCCAGCATGCTTCAGAGCCCGAGCATGATGAGCAAACATCAGATACACAAGATGAAAGCATGAGTCTAATGAGGGGGGAGTGTATGCATCTCTGTGCCTCCATTAGTAGTATAATGGGTTTTAAACAACTGGCCCATACAAGCATATTACATTGATTTCTATCAACCCAGAGCAAGTGAAAGAGATTGTGTTAAATGTCACGTCGTTAGTGGTAATGCAACTTTCAGGAAAAGCTTAATGCTGGACAGAGTCAGAGTTCGAGTTTGATGTCAAGTTGCATTATATATGCTTTGGCTGACAGCGGATACAGCAGGTTAATGATTGAATAACTGAAATGTATGGAGTGTTACAATATTCTATTTAAAGTAAAACCACTTTTTTGCCAAATAAAAAGCTACTTAAATAAGTGAACAATGGTCATGTTTTGATTTTAAGCATTAGTTTCTAGGTTTGTCAGCTTGCTGCTACATAGACAATCTGCAAAAAATACCCATTAATGGCTTGTACCAATATTTACAATGACCTCTTATCATCAAAACAAGCACAGTATAAACTCTAATGTATCTTCCTAGTGCTGGCCTTTCTCACATTGTCTCACATGTTCTTCACACAGTTCGGTGAAAACTAACAAAAAAAGCATCTTGACTCATACACCACTTTTCCTAGTACCAGGAAAACCAATGTTTTAGACGAGGCCACTGAGTAATGTGAAGAAAGATGAAGAAAGGAGCCGAAAGCCATCAGAGACTGAGGACAATTACTCACATATTTTCATTTATATTCATATGCCCAGAATCTAAAGCACACAACTTGCACATGAACGAGTCAATACTGAGAAGTGAGTCAATCCGACTTGTTTTGCCCGGTAGACAAGCAAACACAATGTATACAGTATGAAGGGTAAATATTCAGATTTGTATCAACAAGGATGAGTAACACTCAGGTAACACTGAATGCATTAATTTGAACAATAGTCATGGTGTTTGTGTTTTTGGTTATAATTGTGATGAAAATGTGTCCTTTCTATCTTGCATACTAATAGTTGCAGTTTGTTGGTGTTAAAAGGTCAGTAGGCATGGTCACATTTAATTTAAAAAGTGTTTTGGAAAATATTTGTTCTCTGCACGCATGTTTGTTGAATGTTGAATGTGGCCACTGTGTTTGCGCACCTATCTGCCACACAGTCCTCATGTGCCGGTATTCCCCTGAACTACAGTACCTACCTCACCATGAGTACCGCAGTAGCAGCTACATATGTAGGTCATGAGCTTTTTCATTTTAAGTAAGAGTGGAAATTCCCTGGTCTCTTTTGTCACTCCAGTTGAAGGACTACTTTTCCTTCAATGAATCAATCTAACCATTTATATGTCTGTGTTGATTTTGAATTGTGTCTTTTGGACATAAGTCTCAAGCCATGTGTTACACAGCATTTTAATTCAAGGCCATTCTGCAGGAAGGCAAAAGTATGATACAGAAATACAAATGAGAGCATTGGCAATATATATTCTGCTCCATGTCAGGCATATCTCCTTTTTTCAAACACGATAGTGCAAACATAAGTGACATACAGAACCTCCTTAATGCAAAGTCAATGGTTGAGGTCGAATAGTCCAAAAATCAGCTCCTAACGTCTATCCTTATCGTCTATCCCTTGACCTCTGAGTGAAACGTCACGGGGTTAAGGGATAGTGGATAGGAGAATTCAAAAGGACTTAGGAGAAGAGACTGCGGTACTTTAGAGAATCCGAATGCACTTTCACTATCTGACGTGTTTATGATGCGCCAGCGGACGTCACTGTGTGCGTCTGCTGCTGTGGTGAAACTATGGAAACTACAGTGTTCTATACAACGGACTACATGGATGTTTAATAAGAAATAGGGACTCATCTAGAGACTCTGCACCGTGCTCTGATGCTGTTGCTTTATGCTTTATGAACGTGGACAACAGAGAAACATATTCTTCATGACCAAGGTTGGAATTGAAATAAAAAAGGAAAGTGAAACTTATGCTCTTCACCCTCTTACTCCGGTCCACATTAATACAAATGATGCCAATACGTATGATTGTATGAAAAGATCTTAAAATAAATACAAATGTATTTATTACAAATGTTAGTCCTTAACATCTATCACTGTGTTCAAACATCTTTTAAAAGTTGAACAAACTCCACACAGCTCAGTGAAATGTTGACTTTATTTGATCATTTCAGTAAAAACTAACGTTCATATTTCTCTTTTTGATTATAATACTGATGAACGTTCAAAACAAAGCACTTTGGCAAGTTACCACATACGTTTTAAAAAGCTTAATAAGCACCGTAACTTTCATGATATAATTTCTCCGTCATAATCGGTTGTTTCCGTGAACGGCCGAATGTTGTGTGACGGCAAATGCTGCGGCCGCAAGGCATTGTGGGGCAGCATTTTCTCCTCTCCTTTCGGTTAGGGAGGTCCAGTGGTTCCTAAGCTAAAGGAGGTTATAAAGGAAAACCTCCTTTCCTATCATCTAGAGAATTCGAACGGCACTTATCATGGCTGCCACTGAGGGACTTCCGGGTCATTTCACTCCGTTAGGAAGGTTCCTAAGCTAAATGGACTATTCGACTGCAACCTACATGTGAGACTTCATGTAGACACATGCTTGAACTGTCTTACCACACATTGACTGTAGAGATATTTTAGTGTGAAGTATTGATGTTAGTTTTGGAGGCCAGCCCTATCGTAGCTTTTAGAGGTCTTTTCAATATTGATGATAAATGATAAACCTTCAGAAAATGTCTGAGAGTATTATCCTTTCAGCCAGAGTCTGCTACTAAAAGAACCTAGTTCTGTGCCATGGGAATACCAATTCAAAGTCAATGCCACCAGTAACACTGTCATCCACCTCCAGAGAAAGTCCTCCAACTCAGCTTTTCAACTCAAAGCATATTACCAATTCAAAGAGAAATCCTTCAAGTTGGTCAAGTCTGATGTTCCCCACAAATCCAACAATATTAAACCATCACGTTTCAATTGTACAGCTTGTATCGACAACACGAATGAAATCTATTCACTATGATTCAGACACTAAAACACTGTACCAACTGAATGTTAAGGCTTACCAAGGACATCAATGTTTTTGTATATCTTGTTAACTTAAATAACATGTGCACTTTAGATTATTTACCTACATTTTCCAAATAATGTCATTTTCCTTTTCATAGGCATTCTTAGGTCAGAATTCAGGCGTCAAGTCTTTTGGAGAGACATTCAACTTTTAAAAGATGCTCCAACATGAAATGTAACGGCCCGTCCACACAGCGGCGTGCGTTGAAGCTTGCCGGCGGGCATGTCTGAAACTCGACCAACAACCAATCACATGAATCTCCCGCCCCTGACACACAAGCAGCGGTTTGATTGGCTCGAGCTTGTACTGGCATATGATTCGATTGGCTGACGCTTCTGCTGTGGATTCAAAAGTTGAACATTGCTCAACTTTTGCAGCGAGCCACGCCAGCAAAGCTCTGCGTCGCTTCCCACAATGCAGTTCGGCGAAAAGTGAACGGGCCGTACGAGTCTATTGATGTATCTTCTCAGTGTAAAACATGAGTTTGTACATTCACGTTGCTTTGGATATGTTGCTAAGTATTCACAATGTGTAGTTAAAGTGCTGTGATTCCAAAACACTGATATAGTTATTTAAGTCACAGCTGTCTCGTTTTGATGACTACTTACTGTTACAGTGTATTGCTAATGTAATCCCTTATTAAACAGTAGTTAAACATTATAAAAATAGTAACAATGAGACAAACACAAAATAATTAAGAGACATACCTCCTGCCAGGATCTGCTGCTCAAGTTCAGCCATCTGTTTCCTGTAAGCCCTCAGTGCGGCCTCCTTGAATGTTGGTCGGATACGTTTCTTGGGTGGGGCCTCTGTTGGCTTCTCTGTAGACTTCTCCTCTGAAATATTTTTATTTTCATCCTCTTTTTGATCCACTTTTTCAGACACCTCAGCTACCTCCTCTGTTATCTCCTCTACCCCTTCTAACTCCTCATCGCCCTCTTCCATCTCCTCTGTCACATCAATGTCATCAGGATCTTCTACGTCTACATATTCCACCATTGCGTCATATTCAGCTGTGTCCTCTGTGAGGTGGGTTTCATAGTCTTCATTGTACTCTTCATCCAAATTGCAATCATACTCCAGAACACATGCCTCTTTACTCGTCTCATAGTTATCTGTGGCTTCAATATCTGGAGAGGCCTCTAAGTCCTCAAAGGCATCATCATCTTGAGAGGCATCAACGTCATCAGACACATCATAGTCCTGAGAAGTCTCACACTCCTGCGCAGCTTCATCTGTCTCATCTGTCTCATCAGCATTAGTTCTGTTCTCCAAGTTGGCTAGTACCTGCTCCATCACTTCAACATAGTGGGTCTCATTGTCCACTGGTTGTTCCACAGCTTCTGGGTCTGAACCTGCTTTCTTATCCTCTGCCTTGTTAAAGACAGGCTCTTTGTAGGCATCTGAGTCTGTTGCAGTAGAAGGGTTACTAACACCAGAGGTGGACAGGGTGCGAAAACGGCCCATAAATGATGAGCTGGTGGGCGCCTCTGGGGGAGCAGGGTTAGGAGTGGGAGGGCCAGACTTCAAAACAACCTCCAGAGCTGACTTAGCTCTCTGCAGTGTAGAGCCAAAGCCAAAACCAAAGGACTTCTCAGTGAGATCTATGCTGAGCCTACTACTCCAAGACTTGGGGACCTCCTCAACTTTCTCTGTTCGAATCTCACTCTGACTGCGGTACATAGTTGAAGATTTATTCTGAGTCTGGTGAAAGCTATGATTGACATCCAGTTCAGGGAATTTATCCTTCGGAACTACTTTGGGGGTTTCTTTAGGGGCATCTTTAGATGCTACTTTGGGTGCAACTTTAGGGGCTTCTGATGGGACTGCTTTTGGGATGTCATTGGGTAGCACCTTGGGACTCTCTTGAGGTGCTACCTTTGGGGCTTCTTGAGGTGGAATCTTAGAAACTTCTTGAGTTGGAATTTTAGAAACTTCTTGAGGTAGAATCTTAGAAACTTCTTGAGGTAGAATCTTAGAAACTTCTTGAGGTGGAATCTTAGAAACCTCTTTAGTGGGTACTTTACCAGTCTCCTTAGATGCTATTTTAGTTATCTCTTTTGGGGCTTCTTTTGGGGGTAGTTGTGCAGCTTCTTTGGTAACCTCTTTAGCAACAACTTTCAGAACTTCTTTAGGTGCAACTTGTGGTAGATCTTTTGCAAACACTTTAGGAGACTCCTTAGGGGATTCTTTAGGGGACTCTTTAGGGGTTGAAATAGGGCTCACAAATGGGGTTATTTTCGGGCTCTCTTTCGGTGACTCTCTTGGACTTTCTTTTGGAGTCACTATCGGGCTAACTTTCGGGGTAGTTTTAGGAGTGACTTTGGTCGGCTCATTAGAAGTTATCTTTGATGTCACTTTAGAAACTTCTTTAACAGTGGGCTTTGTTGTATCTTTCGGTGTTACTTTTGTACGTTCTTTAGGAAGGGCTTGAGAGGGCTCTTTAACTGCTGATTTCTGTACCTCTTTAGATACATCTTTAGGAGCTGCTTTAGAGGTCCCTTTAGATGAAACTTTAGTAGCATAAACCTTTGAGATCTCCTTAGGCAATATTTTGGTGGTTTCTTCTTTAGGAGCCAATTTAGTCTGTTTATGTGTAGACTTAGCAGCAGCTTTAGGGGTATCTTTAGATGATACTTTTGTGTTTTCTTTTGCACTAATCTTATATTCTTCTTTAGACTGCCGGGCAGATGTCTTGATGACAGTCTCCCGTTCTGTGACGGGAGGAATAATGTGTGTGGTTATAGGTGGTAGAGAGTCTCTGTCAAGCATCATGAATTCCTCTTCTCCTTCAAATTGTAAATCAACCTCCTGACATTTAGTGATATTTTCTGGAAAACCGGGGATGGTTGATGGGTCAAAGGGACTGCTGACCTCTGTAGAAGCTTCCAAACCAGAGTCAGCACCCTGCTCGAGGTGATGCCAGTCTTTCCAGGGTGATAGGTCACCTTGAAGAGAGAGCTGGGAGCCACTGTAGTGGCTTCTGTCTCCTGACATGCAGATAAGTCCATTGCTCACCCCACTGTCAATAGTTTCTGTAGTCTCAATCTCATTGTGTTCATATGTTTGATTATCATGGCCGAGCGGCTGCGTCTCGCTAGCATACCAGGAGGTGGACATGTCTTCTTGTTTCCTCTGCCACAGTTCCTGATCGGAAGAGGACAGCAGTGAGCCGCCATTTGCCCGTGTAAAATACTGACTTTCTGAAAAGTCCTCGGAGTACGACTGGCAAAGCTTTGAGCAGTCAGACTCAGAGCGGCTGAGTTTAGGGGTGGAGTAGTCACTCTGGGAAAGCCAACCTGGGGTCAAATCAGAGTAGTACGCCTTTGCATGCTTGTCTGGGTCATAGTAGGCGTCATCAGCATAGTGAACAGTGCCTGAGTAGCCGGCTTCCTCTCCTGACCGGCTATGGTCATGGGAACGCCTCTTCTCTGATTTGCTCTTGTGAACAGGCTTTGAAACCACCATTGCATATTTATTTCTGCTTAATTCGTCTAATTCTTTATCACTGTCCATTGAATCCCAGTCATCGCTCTCCACTACTTTGTCCTTCCCTGAGACTTTTATATCCATGCTTTCATAGGTTTGTGAGGAAGACATTGCTTTGTCTTTTCTCTCCTTTCCATCTTGAGTTAAGCTATCTGTAGAGACTATAATACCTGTTCCTTTCAGTTTATAGCACTTTTTTAAGATCACATCTCTTTCTTGGGTTGTTGCAAAAATAACAATAATTGGGCGGGGTTTTGCATTAGAACATTCTCTCTGTTGCCCTAACCTATGAGCAAGCTCAATTTTTATTGTTTTAAGGGCATCAACGAAACCCATTTTGTCTTTCAGTATTTTGTATATTACACTCTCTGTTTTCTCTCCCCTTTCTTCGGGAACATTAATGAACCGCAGGGTTGAATTATTGGCCTGGTGGCTAATTTGTTTTATGTAGTCATGAATATCACGTGTTTCCCTTCTAGATTGGACAAATCCTGTGCGAAGCTGCTCAATCTCACTTTGAACTACTTCCACACTGCTGGATATCTCATCAATGGAGCTTTTTAGGGCATTTACATGGCCGCGTAGCTCGGACAGCTCTGTCTCTATCTGGCTGATCCCCTGAAGCTCCTTAAAGATCATTTCCATGACATCCTGGGTCTGACTAATGCAACCTGTGGAGGAGGAGCCAGGCTCCAGGGTTGAGCTCTTTTGCTGCCGTCCAGCACGGTCCAAGGACTTGCTCCGGATGCCCAAGGTTTTCCTCCAATTGCTCACCTCGGAGTCGGAGGAGACACATTCCTGACTCTTTTTCCATTTTCTTAACTTGCGTAGAGCACCAAGCCTAAGTGTGTGTAGACTTGAGCGTTCCACTCGCTCGCCCTCAGAGCTGCCATCAGATGGAGCCAAACTGATGAGGCTCTTCCTGTTTCGTCTTACTGGCATAGTGTGTGATTTTTGCTCATCCAGTCTCCTTACAAGTTTTGTCTCACTCAAGGAGTCAGAGTAATTAATATCAATTGAAAGAACCTCAGAAAATATACTTTCATTATTGTTCAAAAAGAGAGAGTTTTTCGGGAGTCCATTTGCTATAGCTACTCGATAGCTGAAAGTGGGTGACAGTGATGAGCAATCGTTTTTTCCGTCGTCTTCTTCGAGCGATATGTTACGTGCCGAAGAGCATTTGGAAATCTTTTTAACGGTAGTCTTCAGTGTGGTAGAGAGAGTTAGATTGTGCGCTTGCAAATCAGTGGTCAATTTGGGCTCTTTATTTTCACTTCTCTCTTTCTTCTTTATTGGGTTTGCCAATTTCTTTGTAAACATTCCTTTGCAAATCTTTTTAATGTAGGATGATATAGTATTTATTAGGGCAGAAACCATGGATGGCAATACTGTGGACTATTTGTATCATCAAGTGGAAGGAGAATTTGGCTGAGAATACAGCGTAGATGAGCCAAGCACGATCAACCTGTGATTGACAATGGGATTCCAGCTCACAGTCACTAAAACCACAGTCCGTGTAGAAGCTCAATATTTTTTAATCCAGTGGCCTTCTTCCCGAAATGGCACATCTCTGTCTGTAAGACAAAAAAAACAAAAGCAAATATTAACTTTACATTTGCTTGCAGATTCTAAAATCTCACGGGCAGGGTTGTTACTTATATAGAGAGACTGTGGACATTAGACAATCAGTTTAATCCAACAATCTTTAGATGTATTGTGCAAAGATACCAATGATTTATATACACAATGGAACATTCGTTGGAAATCTTAAACAAATCTCAGTAATGATTTAATTGCTTTATTGTTTAGCACAATGCTTTAAAGCAAATCCTACAGAGCATCGCAGTAACCTATGTGCAGACAAAGAGAGAGAATTAAAGCGTTGTGTGTATGTACTCGTAAGTGGGCGGGGTAGAGGTTGTGGGGGAAATCAATTGCATGTGTATATGACTGCTTGGCATTCATGTATCGATGTGTGTACTGTATTTGTCAGTCAAGGTCAATAGACACTGGCTACACTGATATATCCAGCTTCTACAGCAGGAGAACCAATACTTGTAATTGCTTCAGTGCTACACTACTCTTGTCGGAGTATGTTCACCACAAATAAATATCTTAATTAATGAAAGATGCGAGAACCCTAAATGCGCATCTTCTCTCGTTCGTCATTTTCAACACCATATTTTAAGATCACAAGTCATAATCTGTATATTTGCTATTTTCTATGTATTGATCGTAACGATGAGAGTGTTTCCACAAATTGAAATGATGAGGTTAATGAGCTATGTTGTCAAACATTAAATGTCTCACTTAGTAAGATTGGAAAGCATCAGCAACTGAACCATTCAGTTGTCATAATGCATTTTTGCATCAGACTATATAGTATTTTTCTGAAAATGAAATGGTCATGTTAGTGTCATGGAAAGGGACTAGAGACTAGAATCACGCCATGTGGCCTTTAACAACTTGGAGTTGCTGAGAAGTGTGTGTTTTCTATAGTAAAACAGGCCAACAGAGTAGAAATGAATGGTTGTTGTGCAGAGAATCTGACAGCTGCTCCACATTAGTTCTGGGATATAGAGCTTGAGCTTGATGTGTCTACATCTCATGACTACAGAGACATGCTCACTTCAAATGAGCTGTGAAACATGGCTTCACAGTTCACTTTTAAGGCTGGGCTCTGAAGAAGGACCAGGCATTAGCAAATTGAGCTTAAGGCTATACTGTAGCTGCCAGCATTGATGTGTTTCTGCCAGATGCATGGTTTATTGAATGAATGTAAGGGTTTGACCATGTGTTAACTTTACAGTTTAAGGTTTGGTGTGGGCATGGGGAAAGGATGTTTGTGCAGGAAACACTTTGCATTGTATGTAATGATGAAGGTCTTATACAATAATACCAATCTTAGTAGGTGAGTAAACTCAATGCAGCTAGTTAGTCACTTTAACCTAAGCTGTCATTTAATGGAAAAGTACTGATTCCTAGAACATTTGGTTAGTATGGACTTGAGTTGTGAAATTAAGAGAAAATCTGAATTGAAATTTAGAATGAGGTAAAGACGACTGCAGTACATTTATGCTATGAGAAAGTCATGACTCAGCTATCTTGTAGACTGGCGTAAAGCCAAGAGCAGCCTTTTTGCAACCATTGGGTCATGACCCAAAACTGCCCCTCCCCTCGAATAAATCACATTAGATATTGTTTAAACGTGTTCTGACATTGCCTCAACAACTTCCACTGACATGTTTAGCTCGCATATGAATCTCAAAGCTGCATGCACAAAACTGAGGGGCGTCGCAGCACAGGCAGTCAACTTGTGTTAATCAGTGAGCTTGCAAGGGTTAAGTGCCTTGTTCAAGGGCACATGTTGTTAGGGTAGGAGAGTGATGGCTTATTAACTTCCTCTACCAGGGTAAGTATATAAGACAAGTCTATTAGGCATTTATTGCTTCGTCAATGGTATGGTATCCAAATAAAAGAATCCTCAAGGAATTATTCATTTTGCTAAATATTTAAAGCCGCTACAAACCCACACAGGTGTTTCCACTTATGTTGACGGATCAGACCTCCTCTCTGGACTGTGGGGGCGTGAACAGACTAAAACTGATTGACACAACTGTGGTTAGTTTAATTGGAACTGTTATGATTAGAAAATGTATAACTGTTATTATCCAATAGATTTTTTTTACAACACCACTTAACTCCTAGGTTAGCGCTACCCATCTGTAACCTTAGAAAATCCTAATCAGCCACAGTAATTGTTTGAAAATGAATGTGTGGGTTCCCACTGCTTTGCTGATTAATAACAATGTGGAGAGTTTCAACAGCAGTTTCATGATCAGCTAAGACTGGAACATTTACATTATACAGTCATGGCTATTTATTCAAATTTGGGGAAAAAACGATTTACTTATAATCAGTCAATCTGAAATTAGTTAGTTCTTTTCACATTCAGTGATTCCTTGTAGCATTAAAGTAAATTGCAAATGTGTGTGTATAATAAATGAAAAGGTTTATAATTTCCACACTTCAATAACACAATATAATGAACAGAATTTAATGTAGGCATGACGGAAATAAAATGAGTGGGATTGTAATGGATTGATATAAAATAGAATGACTTGAAATTGAAAGGGATATACCACTAAATAATAAAGGAGGTTTGGGAGATACCTATATCATATTATAGAAACTAAATAAGTTGGTTGCAACAGAAATGCAGGAATGTGGTCGATGATGATAACAACTGCAAACCTTTCATAGCCAAAGAGTGTTAATAATGCATAAAGTTCAACTTTCGCATCAAAATCTATGTCTCCTTTCAGTCTTATACTGAAGAACTGACGGGTTTGAGTGTTGCCTTCGTAAGAAAGTGATTGAGGTCACGGCTCTGAAGCTAGCCAGTCAGTTGAGATGAAGCACTTCTCTCTGGGCTTTTGGGTTGGCAATGTTGGGTTTCCTTTCTGTTACGATCAAACAAACTTGTGTTGCCCTCTGCAGACGTAGAGGTGATACACAGATAACAGAGGAGGTTGTCTCTGGGTGACTGAGCACAGGCAGAGTATCTTTAAGTTGCAGAAATGTGCTGCTAATGCACAGCTCAAGACTTCTCCCTCTGTGGCTGTCAGTGTTAGAGTGCTGTCTGCTGACCAGAATATGGCTAATAAAAACCCAATAAACAGTTACACTGTGCAACTGAGTTTTAAATTCAAGATTTAAAAGTGGTTGGAAAGGAAAAACCGTTTTGACAAAGCACAAGTATTAACCGAATATTGAATACACCATGTCACAGGTTCAGCAGATCATGGGGAAAAGATGGCTTAGAGCCAAGCTAATTGCTTTGGTGTGTTGTCAGAAAATAACAAATAAGGGCGTATTCATTATTAATAGTAATAAAAGAAAGGTATTACAAATTGTGTGTACTTTGAAGTTTGTTGATATCATCTGATCTGGACGAACAAAAGTTATTAAATCTAAAATAAATGTTTTAATTATATTCTTTCTTGATTGGCAAAATGAATAATTCCTTGAGAAATCTCTAATTATTCTCTTAGTAAAATGTCCATGGGTGCTTCATTTCAGATTAGGGTTGCTTTGAGAGCGTTTGCTCTCAGATGTGAGGGGTGAACCGGCAAAAAGGTTCTCTCTAATGCAGAGAAGGAGAAGTTTTGTTCATTGTTCATTTTGTCATCAATACTTGTTTTTCCATTCATGGTTCAGTTCGTAATTACACATAAAAATGGATAGAAGTGAGTTGTGCATAATATTATCTAACCTTTTAGGTTTATATTAGGCAATATGTCAAATTGATTACCCATTTTAGATTATTTGTAATCAAAACATATATTTTAGGCTCCATATTGTTGAATGGCTCAACCATTATGGAATACACAACACTCCACACAAACACCTAATAATGATTCATTTGGCCAATTAATGTGATGATATAATTGAGCTACAGCCCCAATCATGGCTGACAGCATCTGGAATATGTTACTGTTTATGGTAACAGTGACTGTAACATTATTTATATAAAGCACCGTGGCTGCACTATGTCAGAACAAATCAAAACAAAAGAGTTTTAGGGTTTAATAAGTGTTCATTAACAATTAGGGAGTTTACTCTCTCTTTGCAGAGCCAGCACCCTGACATCTGCGTGTTAAAGTTAGACAGATTAGGTATCCACCCTCTTCCAGAGATGGAGTTCTGCAAATTACTTGATAATACGCACAATGTATCGCCTGTATCGTCTCATTACAGCTTAATGGCGGTGAAAAGGATGGCAGATAACTGGATCACCTTATCCTACTTCAATGTGTTATCAAATTGACAGGAACTGCAACCCCATGCTGAGAGAAGACTAACAAGCAAATTGGCAACAGATGCAATGGAACCATTTATTCTAAGTCATCATGACAAGCACATGTGAGAATCAGATCACATATTGGGTTATCTAAGTCTACAGTATCTCCGCTATTGTTCATCCATGCTTTGTAGCGTAATGTAAGCAGATCTAGTGTGATAAAGCTCATTCTGTAATACCTATGTAGAGACAAGTGGGCAACGCTATATGGGTTTTTAATAGAATGAGATATAAATACTTCATTTAAGTAGCATGTGCTCAAAGACACACCCTCTGCCCACCAATATATTGTAGAGCACTGTAGTATGTGGAACATACAGTACATACAATAGGTAGCTATTAGTGTGTATTACATCATACAGTATGACGTTTTCAAGCATGGTATATATTCAAAAAGCCATGTTAAATTAATGTGCATATATATATTTATGTTTTCTCCATATAAACCTATTATTCCGCGCTCAATAATTCAAAGGTTATGTGCCTCTAGGCAACATTGAAACTCCAAATACCTGTTGTAAAATATGCTTGGACAGCTACTGTAAAGGTGTCTGAAAAATTGTTACCTGCAACTGACAAATGAAAAAAAGTGGGAATTCCTGTTGTCCTGAGGTATGTGAGTCAGACTAGAGAAACCTCCAGAGAAAGGGGAGCACCCCAGCCACACCCACTCCCTCTGCTCTGATGCACTGCTACCCCAATCCCTGCATAATGTCCAGGGACCCATTTCCCCCGCTTCTTCCTAATGCTTCTGATTAGCAGAGCACTCTAAAACACTCAATTTCTCACAGTCCCAGTCTCTACCACTCTACTTTGATGAAAAATTAGTGTCAGTTGGAGGCATGCTAACCTATATCTCACAATAGTTAAATCTGCTCTCCTCTCCTGATTAAAGCTCAAGTATGCCAATTTGAGGTTCTTTTGCTGCAAGCAATTACACTACATGCGGTGATGGGCAGTACATTCTCTCATCATTCTGTGTGAAGCTGAGGGACCTCTTTTTGCAAACCAACTGCATGCAGATGAGAGATGTGTTACGTCATGTCTCAGGAACACATGATTATGGATTATGGTGGAGTGTGGATTGGTGTACATGTGGGTGTGTGCATGCCCATGAGTCTGTGTGTGCAGCAGTGCGTGCACACACATGTGCGCCATGCATGCCTCCGTGCATGATTGCTTTTAAGCATGCATTTGCTGCCCAGAGAGAAGAGCGAAGCACACCAGTGGGGGATGAGTATGTGAGGGTGTGTGCATCCTCAGATCATATTGCCCTCACGCCCATCCTCAGCTACATTCTTCCTCCCTTCTCCTAACCTGTGTATTTCCCAACAGTGAAATATCTGCCTGCAGCCCTAGGAAACCAGCCAACATCACAACAGATTGTCTCGCCTCATAAATCAAAATATTACCTTTTCTTTGGCCGGCATGAGGAGAACAGTCTCATCGCATAATTTGTTCAGTGTGAAACAACAGCATTGCTCATGCTCATGTTTAGCGTTATGCATATCAACATGAGGAAAGGTTAGAATGAGAGTAATGGGACGTTGACAGTGTTGGTATGAGATCTGTTTTTGGTAATAAACAACCAAACGTTTAAAACACATCTCAACACCTCAATTTTGTTGTATTTTTCACCCCAGATACATCGACAGATGATGCCATCTAACCGCATCATTCTCAAATAACGTTTCATTAATCCGCTGACAGGGCCACAGAGGGAGGGGAGGGAAGCAACAAGAAGATGCAGGATGAAGTCAGTCAAGATTCCCCCGCCATGCAAACACGCATCCAGCGCCCAAATGGGCTCCGCGGCTGCACATACCTGGTTGTGTCAAATCCCCGTGCAGGACGCCAGCGGTAGTGAGCACAGCGAGCCGTGTGGAGCCGATTCCCCGATTTCGGCGAATGGTCGGTGCGAGTAGAACAGCTGAGGAGGGAGGGCGGGAGAAGAGCGGCTCGGTGCGCAGCTGCCTGCTAATACCAAAGCTCACAGCATCTCTCCGCGTCCGTCAGACACCACATCCCACAGCCCTGCCTCCGTGCACAGACACACACACACCTCTCCTCCATGCCACCTTCTGTGCCCACCGCTCGTTCCTCTACTGTGTTCCCCTGTTCGCGTAAAGGGGGACCGAAGATGCTGCCCTTTAATGCCGCAGGCTGCTGGGTTTTATTTTCCCCACGACTCAAACACACACGCACACACACAGTCACACACCCATGCTCGTAGGGCAGTGTCACAGCACGAGGTGTCTACTCCAAAATTGTGTGCAGACGCCGGGTGGTGGTGATGCTGATGGGGAGACAGACAGCGCGACTGTCGGCTGCTCAGACTGAGGCTCTGCTCCCCGGCCGGAGGATGTCTGTCCCTCCCCCGTACAAAACTCTCTCTCCCTCTCTCTCTCACCCTCACTCTCCCTCCCTCTCTCTACTTCTCTGTGCTCACTGAGTCGGCCTGAGAGAATCGAGCCCACGGACACACACACAAAACGCAAGATACCCCCAAACACACACACTGGCTTGTGCGAAAAGCTTAAGTGAGAGGGAAACAAAAAGAAAAGGAGGAAAGAGGGAGTGGGGATGACATAGTGTGAGTGTGTGTGTGTGTGTGTGTGTGTGTGTGTGTGTGTGTGTGTGTGTGTGTGTGTGTGTGTGTGTGTGTGTGTGTGTGTGTGTGTGGCTAGATAATTGTTTGATCATACCACTGCAAACACGGCACATTCCGATGGAAATGTAATAGGTCCATACACCTTAAACCACCGGAGGTATTGTATACACACAGGGGCGGACTGGCCCTTCAGAATAACGGAGTGGGCCGGTCGGCCGGCCGAGTTTCCCGGGGAGATTTTTAGTCCCAGTCCGCCCCTGCATACACACATGCTGTTACAATGTTAAGCTACAAGCATTATTGCTATATATTTTTCGCCAGGGCTCGTGAGTAGTGCATGCCACGTGCGCAACATTGTGCCGTGTGTGCGTGCCTGCGGGATACGGGGAGCGCACTTTCATCTCTTTCTGTCAAACAGACACACACACACACACACACACACACACACACACACACACACACACACACACACACACACACACACACACACACTTTATGATCTGAGTCACCCTGCACTATACAGAGAGGACCATTCCCATCAGTAGCCTACATCACACACACACACACACACACACACACACACACACACACACACACACACACACACACACACACACACACACACACACACGAGCTGCAAGTAGCCTACACTCACACATCATTTAATTACGTCTCTCACTGGAAATGTCGTCATACATGATTGCCCATCAACGTTGCCGATTAGTCATCTATGTATTCTGGTGTATTAAAACACCATCATCGTTGTGAAAGGCACGTGACTGAATTTCACAGCTTTGAAAAAATCAATCAATCATTTGGAATAAAAAAACACTTATAAGCTCGCGACAAAATAGCAGGAGGTTATTTGCTTGATTTGTCCTTGTGTGATATTTGGCTAATTGATGCTTTGGTGTCGTTGACAGCAGGGGGGAAATGAAGACGGACACTGATGTGAAACGATTGCAGGTAGAGTGTCACATGACATCTCCCATAATTTCGACTACTCCCACTGCCTTGGTGGTGATTAAGCATTCAAATAAAGCCCATCTCTCTCCGTCTATCTCTCAGCTGCCCCCCCCCCCCNCCTCCTCCCCTCTCCCCTTGTGCCTGAGCCTGCCTCCCTCTGTCAGTCTTGCTCTCCTCCCTCAGCTGAGATGTGTGTCATTCGTTCCTCCAACAGCCACTAATTGTCTGGCCTTCTAGCGAAATCACATTTCTCCCTCTCTCTCTCTGAGAGAGGGTGAGAGATGTGGGTTGGGGGGGCTGATGTTGTGCATGGCTGCTGCTCGCCCCCAGCTGGCGATGAGCGCGACTGCAGCCTGGATGCTCAGCTGTTTCTGAGCCAGTTTGACCCAAATGGTCGCCTCCAATCACTGAAGCACACTTGTGTTCAGCCGAAGATAGCAGAGCAGAAGCTGATTTATGTTAGCATTTGACATGGTTCAGCTCGAGACTAATGTGATCTAAGAATGGGGCAAATTAGCTAATTAATTGTGTCTGGAGAATATTGTGGACTAGTTAATTTGCGCCACATGTATCACATACTATATTGCATCCTATCAGAGTGAACGCCCATCAATACAAACATGATTACTGTAAAATAAAGACAGAAAACAAACAAATGCCAAATCTTTCATTGTGGGGTTCACCCCTCGAATGTTCCTCTTTTATTTCCATCTCAGTTACATTCTCCATCCGCTTCTCTGTTGTGTATTTACTCTCGTGTATTTCACTATTCCACTTTCTGTGTTTTCCGGAAACAGATACCCTTGCTTATGTTTATGCCTGGAGCTGCCAAGGGACAGCAAGCCAAGACTCCTGAGGTCTTCTCCACCTCCATCCCCCATCTCCATCCCCCACCTCCATCCCCCACCATCCTCTTCTCTTTCCAGCCTTCGCCTCTCAAAGCTTGTGCAACAAATATCCTCCCTTTATTCCTCTGGTTCTCTCCCTCACCCTCTCTGTGATCACCCATAATGTTTATTTGTATTTCAAATTGAACATGACATATATGTCTTGAATAATTAACTTGTGGTCTTTAGTGTAGATTTAACTGAACACTTACAGTACATAAACTGAGTATTGGCTCTCATTTGAAGTAAATCTGCTTTGAAATAGTCAGATTTGGCAAACAGTAACCTACACAACCTCTGTACAGCAAGATGACCTGGCAAACAGATTTAATGAGATAGCTTCTTAGCCTTAAAAAATACTCTGTTCCAGTTGTGAATCATTCTCCATTAAGACACCATGTTGTTTTAAACAGAAAATCAGACAAGCCGAATAGAGAAAACTAAATTGAGGGACATTGTTATTTGCAAAAAACCTTCTGGCCTTGTGCAACCATTAGGTCAAATGTTTGACATGCTTATTTATGAAAGCTGATTTTACAAAAACAATATAATCTCCTTCCCTGACAGCTTATAGTTGAGGCTTTCTAAACATCACTCTATCCATGAAAGCGATTTAGCTCATTGACAATATTGACCATGTGTTCAAAATGTGTACCATGTATACGAACCATGTGTAGAGTTCAACTATGAACCCATCTTCTAGCCCATTTGACAATGTATCACCATCTGTTCTGAGAAGAGTCATTGATGCCAGCCTACATGTGAAGAGCTCTCCAACACAACTGATTAGATAAAGTAATTTCCCCGTTGGTGATTAATAAAGTATTTATTCTTCTTCTATGTCCCTAAGTTAGTAACCATATCACCTTTATTGGAAAACTAATTTACTATTTTCTCACTACATAAGAATTATAGATACATCTCTACTTTTAATTCTATAAAAAATTCCCAGAAAACAGTGTAAATCTGTCGGACTTCAACGCCAAAAAGACAACCTGTGTACTGTATAACATTAAGTATGCCGGGAAAATAATACACAGTATGTCAAATGCAGTTTGCCAAAAATACCAGGATGTGGTACTGCATCCGGTTGCATTTAGTAGTATGTCAGCTCCCACTATATTTGATGATTAGCCATTTTACTCTCACATAACTGTATTATTGTTTTGCTAATGACGGACAATTATGCTGTATCTCTTTCGTAAACATGAGTCAATAAATATAGACAATTAAAAATGTCTTTAGTGTGACAAGAACAATTATTCCTCAAAATTGCTGTGATTCTTTCTGTATGTCTTTTTTTATTTTATGACAGTTTGTATGCATTGTTGACCTGTCCAAACCGTTGTGACAATTACAGCAAGGCAACACACTGTCATGCACACTAGTACAGTATCTCTTGGACTTACAGTACAAGGCCATAAAGGGATCTCAGATCAGGAACTGTTGCTGCTTCAAGGCCAGGGCTTAAAGCTAAACAGGCTTTCTGTTTGCCATCCTAGCTTCACTATCTTTGGAAGGTATTTATTCGAATAGAGAAAGCGAAACAGCACAATACAAAACATTTTTGTAACCTGTAACTTTTAAAGTGTACATACTCGATGTCCTTCTAGCGAGGCTGTATTTCCGTGCAGTAAAAGGCTATCCACCATTCCAAGTCCAATGTCTTATAGTCCATAGACAACAATGTATTTGGCTTTCATTGTTGCAATAAATGCACAAGTGTGTTTGTATCTTTGTTTTCTGACCTGCTCAGGTGACACTAAATGCTGAGCCGCTGTGCGACAGTGACTTTTGCAGATATATAATCCGTACGCATAAGAAATGTCAGAGTACAAGAATTAGAGTTTAACACCACAATATAATCAGAATATCCAGACCTTCATCCTCTGGAGGTGAAAACACAGGAAAGCTGGCCCTAATGAGACAGGCAGATGGCCTTTATATAGCCTTATAGCAGCTAAATCCTTCCACCGATGCATAAAGGGGTAACTTTGGGCTGATGTGGCCTTAAAACTAGCACATGACTATCAGCTTGAAGAGAAATATCTCTATCTTTATTTTGAGAAGAGAGAGCACATTAAGGGAGTCTTTTTAGATCACACAGCTGTCGACAGACAGCTGGCAACAATTCATGCTGCCTTCAGCACTATAGGGATTAACATTTTCATCATATTTGCACCTGGTGAACCAGAGAGAGTTTCATATTGTTACTGGTGGGGGAATCAACAGAATAGCAAAGACAATTGTTGTGATTGGAAATAGGAGGGGTTGAGAGTGATGGATGTGGATTTTTTTTTACACCCACCATAAAACTCGTCCAGCGATGATGAGGTCTTGAAGCTTTGCTTGAGTAATTTCACGGAATCAAGGAACATGTTCCAGAGCGCTGTTCAATTATTTGTGTATTAAATCCCAGTTCTGAGCGTGTTTACCTATTATCTTTCCAATTTATCAGCAAATAAATGTTTTTTTGGATCATCTTTGTGGAACATAACACCCTCATTTCAAGGATGCATCTCTCTACAGTGTCAAATAAAACCGTAAATGGTAAAGAAAGTCTTTAAAAATAACCATTTCAGATTGAAGGATAGTGTGAGGATGTAAAGGACAGAAGTTGCACCTTTATCATTTGTGGGTTCAATTTAAAAGCTTTGCACGGTATCTATTATTTCGGCAAAAGGTCACTAACAAATTAATTATATTTACAACATATTTTGAAAAACCTTTTCACGAAAGCTTACAACATATTCCTGTTAACATAAACATTTTTTTTTGCATTTATCTATTTAAAATGAACCACGGTTAACGAGAGCAGACATTTTTTCATTTTGTGTAACTATGGTTTATTAATGCAAAGCCATT